ATTAGGGAGCCAATCTGCAGCGCTGCATACGGCACCACTACCATTCGCGCTTAGCTATTATTGAGGTTTAACTAGGACATGTTGCACATGCTCTCTTAACGAGGCTGCTATGAAATGCTCCACAATGTCCTCAGTAACACTTTGCTATCTTAATTAGGGTTATGCCCAGTGGTCTGCCATCCATAGAATCAACTTTTCAACAGTGTAAACATCTTTGATCTCCAAATGTGAGAGCGGTGGGCCTAATGTCAAGAGTGATTTTTATCGGGTCATTATCAGCATGCAGTAGATGTATTTTATCCAGACCTATGGTGTCATTGCAGGTTTGTATTGATGTGAATGAGAGAAAGCACATGGACCTGATGTCATTTGTGCTCATTGCCTTTCACACACAGTGAGCTGGGTTTGATTGCAGCTGATGAAACTACACTGTTTGAAGCTGCCCTATGTATGTTTTTTTTCATATTGCAAGAAGAGGCATTACTGTTAGGAGAGAAAAACACGCTAAAATATTGCTGTTGTTGGAAGAAAACTGTGCATCTCCAAAATGATAACTTTACAGGAGAAGAAAACAACATGCTTTACTTTTAATGTAAGTCTATGAAACCAGACTTTTTTCCAAGTATTTTTGGCCATTTTTTTTTGGTCCATTCATCATGAAATTTTGACACAATGTAAAAGGTAAAAGGCAATTTCAAATGATGTTAAAACTGAAAAACGACAAAAATGGAGATACAAGGTTTTGATCTGACAGCAGCAGATGTTCACGCACTGTTGTGAGTCACTCTGTAAAGTCTAAAATAGTCATTTAAAAGTCAGATTTTCAGGTGTTGGGCTGGATTTTGGGAGTTTTTTGGACCACGTCATACATCTTTAGGTATTAACGTCACACACACAGGCTAAAAAAGAAGGTCAGGCTTGACTTGTGGGTCTCAAATGTAAAATTAACATTATACTGATGAAGAGAGGTCTCCAAAATTCCCAAAACTTACACAGTTAGCATTAACTATAGTGAAACTTGTTTTAAATGTTTTAGCCAAAAGTCATAATTACAGAGTCCCCCTTAGCCCAAATATGGTCAGTCAACAAAGACGTATTTGGCATCTAAAGTTTCCTTTTTTATTTTTTTGTACTGAAGCAAGGATATTAATGTAGCTAATGAGCATTCAGACAATGCCTTTCAACCTCTCTGAAGTATGCTTTGCTAACATGTATAAAACCAAGAACATCACTATTCAATCTCCAGAGAGAGCCACTGGCAGTAGAATGGGTCATACTGAAGGGTTCAGTGGCTTTAAACATGCCCACTTTGCTACAAGTCAGTTCATGAATTTCTGCCCTGCTAGATCTGCCCTGGTCAAATGCAAGTGCTAATACTGTGAAATGGAAGCGTCAAAGAGCAACAACAGCTCAGCCACAAAGCAGTAGACTCATAGAGCAGAGTTGCCAACTACTGAAGCACTTAGCACATAAAAAATATCACCTATTACTCACTACAGAGTTTCAAACTGCCTCTGGAAGCAACAACAGCACACAAACTGTGTGTCAGGACCTTCATGAAATGGATTTCTATGGCCAAACAGCCTCATAGAAACCTAAGGTCAGTATGCACGTTGCCAAGTGTTGGCAGGAGTCTTAAATCATGTTGTCACTGGACTCTGGAGCAGTGGAAACATGTTGTGTAGTGATGAACTATTTGGAAATCTGATAGACGAATCTGGATTTGGCAGATGTCGGGAGAATGTTACCTACCAGAATGCATAGTGCCAACAGTAAAGTTTGGTGGAGGAGGGATAATGGTCTGAGGCTGTTTTTCAGGGTTTGGGCTCGGCCCCTTAGTTCCAGTGAAGGGTAATGTTAATGCTACAACATACAAAGACATTTTAGACAATTATTTGCTTCCAACTTTGTGACAACAGTCTGAGGAAGGCGATTTCCTGTTCTAGCATGACTGTGTCCCTGTTCACAAAGCGAGGGCCATAAAGACACGGTTTGACGAGTGTTGGTTTGGAGGAACTCCTGTGGCCTGCACAGAGGCCTGACCTTAATTCCATTGAACACGTTTGAGATAAAATGGAACGTTAATTGCAAGACTGGCCTTCTCATCCAACATCAGTGCCTGACCTCACAAATGCTGTCTTTACTGAATGAGCACAAATTTACACACACACACTGCAGGGGAGCCTTCCCAGAATGGCCAGGGGTGGAGAAGGGACTCCATATTAATGCCCATGGTTTTGGAATGGGATGTCCAATAAGCTTATATAGGTCTGTTGATTGTGTCCACATATTTTTGACCATATCATGTATTGCTAAAATGCTAACTTTACAGGAGAAGGCAAAACATGCTTTAATTTGAATGCAAGTTAATGTAAGCAGCCTTTTTCTGCTTATCCAGTAATTCTGGATAATTTCTCTAGGTCCATTTATCATTAAATTTACACACAATGTAAAGAGCCACTGACATTTTTAAATTATGTAAGAAAATGAAAAACAACAACAAAAAAAAAAAACAGTGACGATACATCATTCATATATAAAACATTTTAGCCTTTTGCATTCTCTCACATTGCTGTCTCGCGTTTACCTACTTGTCAATCAAATGCATTAGCCCCCTGAGGAGCACATCCTGCATTTTTTAAACGAGATGTGGTGCTCTTTATCTTTAAAAAGGTGTCGTCTGAATCTAAGAAATAATGGAAGCTTAACAGCCCACTAATAGCACTGTGTAAACTTCATGCCTAAATCATCAAAGTCGATTCAAATAAGTAATCTCAACTAGACTTGCTTAAGTGGTACCATCAATTTATTTTCTACTACATTTATTTCACTCACAACTTCTAGATTCAGTAAATAAATTAAACTGAACTATAATTTTTACTGAACTGGTTTGCTGTAAGTAGTTCAGTCTATACTCAATCAGGATATCCTCTAATAGCCTCTATTGACCCAGTTTATACCCACCACCCCATCCCAAATTCAACCCTTTTTAATTGGTTCCATGCAGACCACAAAAGCCACACCCATCTTCAGTCTTACTCTGCTATTGGTTCACAGGGGTAACCACTCCCTAAAGCTGGCCCTCTCCTAAAACGACTGACAGTGAAGGCCTTGAGGCCAGCAGGTGAAACGGTCTGTTAATTGAGTGCCTGTTTGAATTACATGGATGAGTGACGAAGATGGGCAGTCATGATTAAAGAGCAAGTGAAATGGAAACAGTCAAAAACAAAAGCAGGAGGATGAAAACGATCATGTGCTTTGTCCATCACTGGTTCTGTGGTGCTTTAGACATACATGGCAGCAACTATAGTTGGACATTTGTGTGAAACAAAAAAATAAACAAAAAAGCACTACTGTCTGATTTCATAGTGCTCTGCGAATACTCTGACTGTCAAAGGTTTAGGGACACCTGCAGCCTTTTAAGATGTAAACTAATAAGATATTTTGTCAGCATAAAGCAGCTACATGCAACTCTTTTAGATATATTTCACATCAACATTCAGCTTTATGTTCACCAAAGTGTCCTCAGTAAGAAAAGTAGATTTTGTCTAAATAATGACACAAGGGGATAAAATGTAGGGATGCACTGATGTGTGCTGATGCCTATATCTGATAGTTTTCATGTCAATATCTGTCGATGCCGATAAATAAACATTTATGAAAAGTGGAAACAGGGACATCTACTCGCGTTAGCATTATAGAGACATACAACATATATTTCTATAAAGTTACAAGCAATGTAAACATATTAAAATACATACATTTAGCATTTTAGTTAAGTTGCAGTGCCTAATCATTCTGTTCTTGTAGAGTGTAATAAATAGATAATCAAATATTAGTCAAATTTAACGTTCAATGACAATCATTTTTTTTTCTTAACCCTTAAAATCTCAGGCTTATTACACACAAAGATTTACTATTGTGTAACTACAGGGACTTTAGTGCAAACTCACTGAGCTATTCTCAGGTTATAGAAGTGTAATAAAACTTTGGGCCCACCGGTGGGCTCTGACAATTTAAGGGGTTAAATTACCCCTAAAGTCATATTTTGAATCATAAAAAATAATCTATGCCCAGGAAACTACAAAAATGGCATAGTAGCTTACAAATGACTACTCAAAATAGTATTACCCTAAATCTAAATACTCATTAACAATGTGAAGAGCTATGAATATGCACAATTATGCAAATTGTAAATGACCCGTCGCCTTCTCTTTTCTAAACTCCACCTCTTCCCTCTCTACCCTGCACACTATCTCTATGCTTAAACAGATAAAGCAGAAATAAAGCTCCTATTGTAATGTTATGAACAAACGTGTTTATGAAATTTATGAATGAACCTGTGTGGTTGTGTGAATCAGTAATCTCTACTGCAGATGAGAATAGTGAATCAAAAATAGCTCAAGATCACGGCTCCACAAAAACATAGGTTTACCTGCTCAGATCTGAGTCTTTGTTCTCTAAACTTGCATCAGTGTAGCTTCACTGAGCTGCAACGAACATGCATAGTTGTGTATAAAACTGTTCAGGCCTTCTTGCTAAGCTAATGCTATCTTCTAGTGCTAACAAGGACACTGAAGCAAAAGTAGCTACAACTAACAACCCTATGCACAAATAAATAGGTTCACCCGCTCAGACTTGAGTGATTATTCTCTAAACTTGCATCAGTGGCGCTTCAGTGAGCTGGAATAAACCTGTGTTGTGTTGTGTAACCATGTTAAGCTACTGCAGGAGAATGCTACCAGGACAGGATTACATTATAATCATAATAAACCATCCAAGAGGAGGTAACCATTTAAAAAACACATTTTTTATTACAAGCAATTCTCCATGAATACCTGATGCTCCACACTGATGTTTACTGACATACTGATATTTACATGTGTAAAATTGTTTTACTTAAAAAAGATCTGCTTAGCGTTTTATGTGGCCAGTCAGTGCAAACTGACATAGAAAGCATGCTCATTTGTACTAAAACGTTTTGACTTTTGACAGGCACTGTGCATGTAAAGAAATCATGAATATTGAATGAATGGATATTAAATGAATGATGAATCCTAAACTATAAGTACCTGACATTTTCAGCAACAAAAAATGGACAAAAATATCAATTTCTGTGACACAAAAGTCTGGATTTAATAGTAAAATACATTTTGTTCTAAAAAGAAAAAAAAGCCCTTGAGCTCCACAAAAATACATATTTATAATATTACAACTAGTTATACTTTAAAGTTTGCACAGCAGTGCAGCATAGAAATAAAACCCATACCTGATTAAAATATGACATGTAGGCACCGAAACTGTTCTATACAGCCAGAACTGATTCTGATACCATATCATACTATGTAAGTATCTTTCAATACCAACTCTTATTACAGCTGTAGTACTTGCTGGCTATTTGTTAGCAAACCCTGAATGTGGGTTTGTATCATTTTTGTCATCTGTCAAATGACAATGCTCAGTCTGACAATGTAAAGTCTCATAAGATGACATTAATGTAAAATCATGATACCTGTTTCACCGATACAACTATTATCAACACTTATCAGGTGCATCTCTAACTATAACTACAAGATATATATGTTAAATGAGTTAATAGTGTAGAGGCAAAAGCCAAAAGAGAGTATATAAACAATGACAGTTGCATCTCAATGCTAAAGTGAAATTAACCAGCAACAAAGTCAAACCCTGAAAAATGCTAAAGAGATGGATGAGGCCAAATGCTGCATCTGCCCAAAAGAATGAATCTAGGACAGGGGTCTGCTTGTATGTGCATGTGGGCATTTCTCGGATTGTTTTCTAAAAAACATTCTTATAAAATTGAACACAGGCTAAAGCTTTAGCATTAGGTAGACAACAGTTGCTAAGTTAGCCCAGTTAGTTATAGCAACCTTAATTGATAAATAAACGCACTAAGCCATTAGGTCAGCTACGATACAGAAGTTTTAGTTTATGCCCTTATTGGTTTCTAGATATCAGATACAAATTGTTAGCAATAAAAGCACAATGACTAGGTTCAAAAGTTCAGAGACTAGGCTTTGTCTGAAATCTCCTTATCTGCTTATAGGAACATTCAAAATGTGAGGTTAGCTAAAGTGAACAGATTGTAGACTATTATTAAAAACAATATCAGTTAATGACACCGGTAAGCCCTTTCCCCGGTAGGCAAGGATGAGGTTGAGGTTGTGCTCTCTGTAAAAATATTGTGCGGACCACTGCTCTAGGAGCAGAATTTTAGGAGACGGTCACTATGTGAGGCTGGTCTTGCTTGAGGTTTCATGAATCCACTGAGGTGCTGACACGGTGAGGTGAGAGGCTCTCTGGCCATGTCCTCCTCCTTCTCACACTTCATTAGTGTCCTCTGTGATGGCTTTCTCTGCCTCTCCACCTTTATCTCCCCCTCTGTGGAGGAGCCTCTGTCTCTTAATGATGACTCGCTTACACAGTGTCAGCCGAGGCTTGTGTGGGCTGGCCTGCTGCAGGTCAGGCGATGGGGAGATCTGACCAGGACCCTGGAAAAGGATGGGTGGAGCAGAAGAAGAAATGAATGCATTAACCCTTAGCTCAGTTCAGTTCAAATTTTGTGTCATTTAATGTATTGTTATGATAAAATCTCACATCTCTAAAGTGGTAACTTTACAGGAGAAGGAAAAAACATTACTAACTTTGGAAGTTCATGGAAAAAGCGTCAGCAGCTTCTCAAGCATTTCTAATTGTCTATTCATGAAATTTTAACACACTGTAAAGGGCAGCTGACATTATCGAACTTATATATTTTTATTATATAAAAAATATATAAATACAAAACATAAAGGCCCAATCCCATTTCACCCTTTGTCCCTACCACTTAGCCCTACCCCTTTGTTTTGCTCATTCACCCACAAATGTGAGTAATTTTTCATTACAAAATTATGATAACCTTTGTATTATTTTAGTTTAACGTTGTTTCAATGTATTATGGTCCTTTTCTTTATAACAAGCATAGAAAGTCGCTAATAGTATGCTGATGTCTCGGTAGCTAGTTAGCTAAATTTCCTGTTCCATCTTTAATGGTGCAGCAGTTACATTCTGGCACTTCATTTAAGGTGGAATGGGAAAATTCAAACAAGAAGCTGGCGAATAGCTGACTTCTGCTTAATATCACCAAAGAATAAGGGGTGGGCGATAATAAATAATTGTCGCATCCCCCCCTCTTTGAAGGCATATAATTACCTATATTTAACTAAAGACCAGCAGCGAGGTTGCTGAAATGCTGCTCCTCTGCTGCAGACTGGCAGGGTCACCTACAGAGCACCGCTAGTGGCCTGTTAATGAAGTAATGTTCTTTTTTAGTTTTTTTTTAGTTTTTTTGTCCCATTTCGTAGGGGAAGATTTCAACCACTACCCCTTGCAACTCCGTTCCAAGGGGCAAGAATAAGAAATGGGATTGGGCCAAAGGGAGAGCGGGGTTGGTTGGCACAGTTTTCTCTGCCATAAATCACAGGCATACCGTAGATTAGGACAACCCACCTAGCAGCAAATGAGAAAATGGGAGCTGAACATCTTAGCTGAAGAAACAGGCCCTTTTAATGTCAGAAAACATTTCCTGGAGTAAGTGCAGTCATTAATAAATTCATGTTGTGCACTTGTGCCAACCAGCCCCAACATGGGGTTAGTTGGCAAATGTTATGAAGATGGTTGGACTATAATTTTAAAGAATTAAGCAAAAATAAATAAATAAATAAATAATAATAATAATAATCAGAGCTTTATTCATTTGAAACAAAACACAAATACAAACATTAAATGGCAACCTAATAAAATCTCTGAATTAATGAAACATAACAAATGTATACATTCTATTAAGTAGACGTGCAGCATATAATGTAAAAAATATCTATATTTGTGACAATAGTCTGACATTTGGGTACATTTGCTAACCAGCCCCCAAATCAAGATGCCAACCAACTCCAACCACATCAGGACATAATCCTGAATTTACTAGTATATATATATATATATATATGCAAATCTGATTGCCACTAACTAATGAGCATGATATGGGGATGGTTGGCACAATGGTGGTCAACAGGGCAGTCATTTGTACATTCCATTTCTGTGATAGCTCCCCTTACTAACACAGAAGTTAATACTGTGCCAACCAACCCCTGTGCCAACCAACCAGGTTTTCTGCTATATACCAGTGTACAGTACAACAAAATGTGCAAAATAAGTCTTAAGAATCTTAAGACACTGGCATCTACACAACGGGGGGGGCTGTATGAAAAGACTACAAATGTCACAAAGAATTTAAAACATAAGTGATAATCAACAGCAATGGACTTGCTGGATTTGCTGCATAGTTCACTTACCCTTCTGAGAGATATCAGTACAAATGCAGGAACACAGAGCATTGGAGTGAGGGTGAGCAGGGCAGCTATCGTGGACCCCCAGCTGGGCCCAAAGTTGGAGTTAACTGGACTACTTACAACAAGATCATACAGCAGTGTGGCCTGGTGTAGCAGTATAGAGAGAAAGAGAGAGAGACAGTGTAAGACAAGGAATGGGGTTTGAATGGAAGACAAACAACTAATAGTTGTTTACACAACTAGTTTGGAAATATACAAATTTTTTACCCTAAATTTAGACAGTGAGTCAAGACATATTGGTGTCTGAAGTTTGCTTCTTTAGTTGTGCACTGGAGCTCTGAGGCTAATGTAGCTAACAATAAATGGATACCCCAACAGTTAACATTGCGCAAACTGAATCCCAAGTGAAGTCATCACACAGTTTCTTCATATTGTGTCAAGTTGTGTCATGTTAAGTAATCCCAAATAGGCTTCTATTAAGTGGTTTCTGATAATTTGACATAGCTAATTTGACAGTTATCTAGCTACCAAATAGTAACTAAAAATTCCACACGTTTTTTAGGTTTATACATAGCATTATGTCCTATAGTGCCAGAAAGCATATATGCAAGTCTTCATATGTGATGTTTTGGGCATGTAGTTTGCACAATGCTAATTAGTGAGCTATAAGCTTTCATGCACATCTTGGCTGATCAGCTACTTTGGGTTGCCTTAAAATGCATTTCCCACCTACTTTAAAGATCCCTGTTTTTACATCATGCATGTTTTATCTTCAGTAACATTGATAGAAACCCAAAAATAGTAAGATGGGGGTGAAATTCTGACTCACTCCGCAGATTAATGGGGTGATGAAGAGCCAGCAATACTTCAGCACAGGCATGGGGGTGTATCCTATCATGTCCTTGATGTTGTCATAGAAACGATCCGCACCTGCAGTGCCATCCTGCTTATTAATTTCCTTTGTTTCCTCATTTTAGTTAATCAGAATCATTTCAATGAAAAAAGACTTTGACACATAGCATTTTGATGGCCAGCCTCTATGAACATGACTGTATGCCACTGTGGATTGAGCTTTGAGTGGTTTGATGTAAAATGGTTCATTATAGAGAAACATACAGACTTGGATTTCTTTACATTAGTGCTAATAGGAACTGCAGGTTGCGATGTTGACAGCTCAAATATAGCCATTTAATTTCCTATCTAAAACGACCAGTGAACTTACATGTTGCCTTTTGAGTTTTTATATGTAATGTTAATAATAGTGAAATACATTGCCTTTGGGTACTACTTTAGAACGCCTTGTGTCTACCTCTCCACCATGAAATAATGAAAGAAAAATGTTTTAAGGCAACATCTTCTCTCAAAACTTCTTTAAGACACTGTCTCAGGCATCAGGCAACACATTCATAACAACTTCATGAATAATTGTGATGTAGCTTTTAGAGGCTTTAAAATCCTTGATGGTGAAGGAATCTGGTTCCTATCACATCCACTGTGAACAATTCTGACTCAGTAAGTTTCTCTAGCATGAAATGACTTTATATCAAACTACTCTGAGTGACTTTGTTTATATCTTAATGATTTAACAATGAAAAATGCTACAATATTGGTGAAATTCCCCTTTTTTAGATATAGATGAAATAGTACTTTAAAGGTGAATCACCATTAGCATCACAATTGAATCCAAGACTCCATGATTCATGTTCAAGAAACTAGCACCAAGTCGAACATACCTGTACTGTGGAACTTCATACAACATTTTTGAATTCATAAGCATGTAGCAGGTTTTATATATATATATATATATATATATATATATACAGTAATATACATTCACATATAATCCCTCTCTTCAGCAGCTCACCGTACACCCAGGCAATGACGATGGTTTCAAAGCAGGCGATGTAGAGCAAGTTTGTTCCGCTTGGACCATATGTGTCGATCAGCACAAACAGGTGGATCCCACCCTGAAAGAGGGACAAGGGGACAGCAGAAACAAACACATAACGGTTTCGTTGTGGTTCTCTCTGCCTCTTTGGTCATTTGATTATCATGTTTTTCAGTCATTTGGCTATCAGCAAAAAAAGTTTACTTCATTTACTGCTATGAGTGTAACGATATGCAAATTTACGATACATGTGGCCATTTTGCATCGCAATTTGATATATATTCAATGCAGAAATAGAGGAGAAATGCTAACATAACTTTCTGATTGATTGACTGATCGATTAAAAAAAACATTTACAATTACAAATCGATCGATTGTTCGGTAATTGCCTGGTAATTCTCACTTTGCGTTTCTATATAAATCATTGCTCTTACTTCCTGGCTGAAATGAATCAAAGAGGGGATTTTCTAACGTGGCTAATCACTCCTTGAAAAACTCTCAACAACCAAAAAGTGGTGCAAATCTTAAGCTACAAACATCCTTGTGGAGCAGGGTTTTTTTTTCGCTCGCTCAGAATTGCCAAGATGAATGTGAGGATGGTTTTGCTTATTCAAGCTCAAGTTTGCACTTTCCACTCCTGATCTCAAACAGCTCAGCTAATCAGCGATACAAGGTAGGCTAACCAAACCTATAGCATAGTTTGTCTTTTCCAGTTCTGAGAGCTGTGCAGTGGAGTGTTTATTTTTTTATATTCATGGTTATCACTTTTAGATTGTGCTCAACAGAACTACAGAAACCATTCCCTATATCCTGAATTTTATAAAAAAAAATCTAATCGTATTCGTATTGAGTACCCCCGCATTGTGACAACCCTCTTTTCCCGTTACCTCAGAGGTAGCTGATCAACCAAGACATGGTACCTGAAGTTTGCTTTAGTGATCATCTATAATCATCTCACATATGCTTGCTTATGTGGGTCTATAAAAACAGACAGAAGTTGGGGGCTTGGTTGGCAACAATGAATACAATTTATGAATCAATACATAGTTTCACTTTCAAATACTTCTATAATGTTGTTTGTTTTGTTTGTTTTAACACAGAACAGTCAAAATGTCTCCACATTCACAGATTATGACATTCAGAGCTATAGGCAAAATGCAATATTGTTGTTCAAGAGGTCAGTCATTTTTATGGCACATTCTTGTGAGTTCCCTTCACAGAACCAGAACACTGCCAACAAACCCCTGTGCTAACCAAAAGGTTCTCCTCGTTGCACAGCCACAAACTGTAGGAGCTGCCAGAATGAAGCCAAAGATTTTTGTACATTTATCGATTTTGTAGATAACAATATACAGTGTATTTACAGTATACAGAATATACAGAAATCACAAAGTGAGTCTATTTGAAGTTATGAAACTGATCCTGATGCAATTGTGTGATGATTTAGGCATGCAGTTTGTACACTGCTAATTAGTGGGCTTTAATTACTCATTAGCTACACAAGCCTTGGAGCTCCAGTGGAAAATTAAAGAAGCAAACTTCAGACACTAAACATGTCTTGTCTGAGCGAGCATTCGGGCCAGGGCGGGGAGGGCTATCACTTGGTTGGTAATGTAATAATACAGCCAAGACCAAAAGATATGCAGCAGACAGTGTTATTCTGTCTCTCTCTGTCTTAGTACCCCGGTGACGAGAGGAAGGCCCAGCAAGAAGCAGACCACAGCGATGACCAGCACCAAAATCTCTCTGCGCCTCGGCTTCCTCAGAACTCCAGGGAACACATCAGTGAGCGCCGTGGCCAGACTTTCAACACACACAAACTGAAACACACACACAATAATTTTGACCTTTGCAATACTGATATTGTGCTAATATGCTGAATTGTAGTTGCAATCGCAAGTATGCTGCAATACAGAGGGAAACCCTCAGGGCCTTCTAGGCCTTAAGAGAAGGCTAAATGATTTCAAGAAGTACCAAAAATATATATTTGTAACTTTTAGTTCATTTTTATTCAATAGAATCATCATTTTATTTAAACTCTGGAAGTATTACAGTACCACTCTTGTCTCATTGTTGATAGGAATAGAATACAGAATATAGAATATAGAAAAGGAATAGAAAACGTGGTCAATCATTTTAAAGCAAAATGTTAATTTTGCCTAGAAACGGCCACTCAATTGGTCAAGGGTGTTTTATCAAGAGTCTTTAGCCAATACTTGTAAAGGGATCATTCTACTGCATTGGTTCAAAGTCAGAGTTGAAAACTATTCAGATTTGTAACTGATTTGGACTTTAGACTAAAATCCTTTTGGTTCTCATGACTCTTGACCTAAAGTAAAGGATTTACCAAAACAATCATCATTAATGTTTCAATAGTGCCAAAGTTAGCTAATTTTGAGATGAAGTATGTTAGCCAGTGCATGACTAGCAAACACAGCTTTAAACAGTTTTACACTCAAAAAATCATAATATTTTACATTAAAACACAAAATGCTTGCTTAATTGCAGAAAATATGTTTCTCTAGTGACAATTCTCAATGTTATACACTGATTTTCAGACTTGGGGACATAAAACAATGGGATGCAGTTTCACTTCCTGCTCTGAAATGCAGGGGTGTGGCTAAAATAAGGCTCCACCAATGGACTAAAACTCTTTGTATTTTGGTAGTGACATTAAAACATGGAACATTTTTTTGAATGATGTTTTCTTAATTAAACATTAAACTCATTGTCAATCTTAATCTTTCAACTTATTACTATCTCAGTTAATGCCTTGGGTTTAAATAGATTATAATGCATTCTCATAAATATCTAATGTCTGAGTATGTAATTGTTTGTTGTTTTATTTTTTTTTTACTAAAATTTTATAGAATTTTTTGACCCTCCAGACAGTTTTGCAGAAATATATCAAAACAAAAACTTAAGTATTTAGCTAAAAAAAGCACATTTTACTGTTTAGTTCTGGTAGTAAAGCAAAGCCCCTGCACTCCTAATAACAAAAAAAAAAATAAATAAATAAAAAAACATATAGGCCTACAAAAGCAAGTAAATGTACCTGACTGTCCAGTCCTAGGAAGAGAATCATTAGGAAGAAAAGGAGAGACCATAACTGAGGGCTTGGTAAGAGAGACAGTGCCTTGGGGTAGGCTATAAAAGCCAGGCCTGGACCTGCAAGACAGTTCAGTTCATTACAAAAATGTCCAGTCATTTCACTGAAGATATTTAACTGATATGACAGTTACTTTCTTTGCATATTGATTTGACACTGCTGTCCTTCCCGAAACAGACTGAATTCAACACTATCCACAGAGAGAGAAATAACCACAGGATTAAGTTAGCTTCACTCTTTTAAACAGAGAGACAGGACTGATGTGTTGGTTTGAGGTGCCATCTGGTGGTGAGGGAAGTGAATTACTGGGTTTATATTCAGTTCATTTTCCAGTTATTAAACTATTCATAATGCTCCTGTCATAACAACACCTTGTATCTCAGAAATGAAAAGAAAGATTTATTCTTAACCATAAATTTACATGAATGTTTTAAACTCTTTTATTTCTTTATTATTAGTCCATAGCAGCAGCATAACTCGGATCTTAAGGCCCCAGTGAAAACATACATAAATGAAATGAAATACTGGGTCTGCCCATATGAAAATTACTTTTAATTAATAAAATGACAATGTCTGTGTAGTCTAACTCTCTGGTGAAGTACAGTACTGTGCAAAAGTCAGAGACCACCCTTTATTTATTTAATTTCCAGTCAAAATGGCCATTAAGTACAAGTCATTCATTTTTTTAGAAAAAACAGGACATTCCAAAACTTGAGTTCAAAAGATTATTGATACAGAGAGCCCTAACGTCCGTGCAAGACCTGGTAGACCACCAAAACTGTCACCATCAGATAAACAGTACTTAAAGCTTTCAATGTAGAGAAAGAGGAGAAAATTAAGCTCCACTTTTGCTTCAGATCTGAAAAAAATCCACAGGTGTTTCTGTCCATCCTTCCACTGTAAGAAGACAACTCAACACTATGAGTCTGAAAGGATGTGTAGCTGCCTAGAATGTGTTACTGAAAAAATTAAATAGACAAAAAAGAAGGAAATTCACAAGCCAAATAAAGAAGCTGCTGGTGTTCTCAGAACAATAGACTGACCATCCCAGAGTCCAGACCTCAACATCACTGAATATGTTTGGGATACTTGAATCTAAGAGCGGCAAAATGCAACTAACTTCTAGGCCGTAATAAAGGCAAAGGCTAGACACAGTAATTGTATTTACTTGCTGAAGCTTCTGTGTTATTGTCTGTTAAATATATGTTTTCTGCTTTTTTTCTCCTTGATGCTGAAAAATCACTTGTACTTAATTGCTGTTTGGTCTGGAAATTAAATAAATGAAAGTGTGGTGTCTTAAATCTGTATTTTGACCTAGATCATTCTGAGTCATGGGCATACTATTGTGTCAGAGTCTACATAAGGGGAACATTAATGTTTTTGGTGGTCTCAGACCCCTCTCGGATGCTACTGGCTCCCCTGAAAAAACTCAGTCATGAGATTTTGATAGGACATTGAAAATAATGTAATGTCTACCTGATCTCACTATGTTCTCCATAGGCAAGCTCAGCTCGTGAGACATGTAGCCAAGGATAGAAAAGACAGCGAAGCCAGCAAAGATACTGGTGCCGCTGTTCAAAGCGCAGAGAGCTATGCAGTCTCTGAGAAGAAGATATAGAAGATACAAAACTATATAAATATAAAATCGCATACAGAAATACACCATGAAGATGACAGAGAGTCACTGACTTGTAGCAGTTGTTGTGGTATTTGTTATAGCTGCCCAATGCAGTGAGGACACCCTGACACACAGCATAAGAAAAGAACACCTGGGTGCCTGCATCACGCCAAACCTGGGGAGAGAGAGAGAGAGAGAGAGAGAGAGAGAGGTCAGCTCTCTTTAATAACTAGCTCTTATAAACTAGCGTCTCGATCTCATCTCGGTCTTGACCTCATATGCAGTCAGTCTTGTCTTGATGTAATGTGGACTTGTTGTCGAGGACAACCAAGTGTGACATCTTCATCTGAGGTAACTGGAAGCTGAGTTATTACTGAATATCAACAAAACCAGAATAAACAGAATAGAACAGTCCTTTCTCGGCATCAGTGGTTTTCAAACAACTTACGGCCTGCACAAATGACCACAGAAGTGTCCGTGGCCCACAAGATTTTCCAATCAGATTGTCTTTTTTCTGACTCACCTAACGTGAAGGCTGACTTGGCAGCTACCGAGTACTGGATGTCAGGCCTAAGAGAGGAAAGCTGCAAATGGAGTTCTGACTCAATTCAACAGCATTAGATACATATTCACTATGTTAAGTCTCTGAGTGACGGTGCAAATTGTCAGGTTTTAAAGCTTCGTTTGAAAAGACTCCTGAGCTAACAGCACAGAGCTGTAGTCTTGTTTTCTGTTCTCATGCATGTAAAGCCCAGTGCTGCTACTCACTGCTGTATTGCCTTCATTTTGGTTATGTTTGTGCTAAAAATATAAACATAATTAGCTCACATTTTGTCAGAATAATGAATGAGATCAATGTAAATATTATCTATTATTTTTGCAAATAATCAACAAAATTTGACCTATTTAAAATTGCAAATCTCTGTTGTGATCGAAAAAAAATTGCAGTACTACTGCAGCCCACTGGGGGGTCCACAGCCCACTGCTGTATTTGTTTAAATAAAATCTGTTGGTTGAGGATCTAATTGATCTTTCCAGGATGGCTTAACTGAATGTTTGTTTGTTAATGTTCATTGGTTCCAAAGTTCAAACATACCCTGAGTACAGATCAGAATGTCATTATTGTTTTCATTTAATATTAAAAATGGATGTAATTTAGTTTATGTTCGTTTGACTTTAGATGGTGGTTCTAAATAAGTTTTAAAGAAGAAGAAACAGAAATAACTTTACTGTTTGTTCCAGTTACTTTGCAAAGTTTGATGAAGACTATAATATAATATTAATTGATAATATTTCAAGCTATATATTATTAATGTTACATTTTCCAAAATACATCATTATCGTTAAATAATATCATTAAGTACAATGCATAATTAATGATAATGAATGTACAATTCAGGGTTTATATATATTTATATATAAACTCAATGTGTCTCGGCCTGGGTCTTGACTCAGACTCAGCTCTAGAGGTCTTGACTACAACTGAGAAACCTGTAGAGCACCAACAATGAACATAATGAAATTCATATCCAATTCACATCTAAAATGCCTCATGTCTAAAAAGCAGTGATCAAATCTCGCTGATCAAAGGCATAACATTTACTATTTTTTTTCACCATGTCATCACTTATTTTTGTTCCCAAAATACGTTAAACTATGCATAAACCATCCGTTGATGTTTTGGAATGTGTCGTTTTTAACACTATTAAGTTATAATTGAATAACAGTTATTATTATGAGATGTGATTCCCAACTTTTGAACAGTAGCTCATAATAAACAGATTTGAATGCCTCAGTGTTTTGACAACACTGTAACTTGATATGGTTATAAGGTTGAGTGACACAGAGAGAGAGAGAGAGAGAGAGAGAGAGAGAGAGAGAGAGAGAGAGAAAGCAAAAAAGAGAGAAAGTGAGAGAGTGAGAAAATATGAGAGAGAGAGAGAGAGAGAGAGAGAGAGAGAGAACAAGAAAGAGAAAGACAGCGAGAGGGAGATTGAGGGAGGGGAGATATTACAGTCTACAGGCCACAGCAGGTCAGCACCACATCTGCTTATCATTTACAAAACTGCACAGCTGGCAGCCTCCCATTCTCTTTCCTTAGCCTGTTCAATACAGTCTCTTCTCTCTCTCTCTCTCTCTCTCTCTCTCTCTCTCTCTCTCTCTCTCTCTCTGTTTTTGTGTGTTTAGCTCTTTGTGGGGACCAACTATGAAACCAACCTGAATATTTTGTTGTTGTGGGGACAACAGACTGCTGCTTTTTGAAAAATATATGCCCATTTTGAATTTGATGCCAACAACACGTTCCAAAAAAGTTGGGACGAGGGCGTGTTTACCACAGTGTTTCATCTCCTCTTCTTTTAACAGCACTCTGTAAGCGTTTGGGAACTAAGGAGACACTGCTGTAGTTTTGAAAGTGAAATGTTTCCCATTCTTGTTTGACATAGGATTTCAGCTGCTCAACAGTTCGGGGGCTCATTTGTCGCATTTTTAATTTTATAATGTGCCAAATGTTTTCAGTGGTGACAGGTCTGGATTGCAGGCAAGTCAGTTTAGCACCTGGACTCTTTTAATACAGAGCAATGCTGTTGTAATATATGCAGAATGTGGTTTTACATTGTCTTGCTGAAACAAGCAAGGCCTTCCCTGAAAAAGACGTCATCTAAATGGCAGCATATGTTGCCAAAACATGTATATATCGTTCAGCAAAAATGTTGCCTTCACAGTTGTGCATGTCACCCATGCCATGTGCTCTAATGTACTCCTATACCATCATGAATACTGGCTTTTGAACTGGGCACTGATAGCAAGGTGAGTGGTCTTTAGCTCTGAGGACACAGTGTCCGTGATTTCCAAAAAGAATTTCAAATGTTGATTTGTCGGACCACAGGACACTTTTCCACTTCCCCTCAGTCTGTTTTAAATTAGCTCTTTGTACTATTTTCAATGAAATGTAGGGTTTAAATGATCTGCACATCATTGCATTTTGTTTTTATTTACACATTTACATATTTTGCACAACGTCCCAACTTTTTGGAAAAGGAGTTGTGTTATTATCATTATTAATGTCATTTTAGTTAGTTTACATAACAACACCTGTCTAATCTCATAGAATTACATGCACAAGTATTTACAACAACAATAACAACAAAATCTCTCTCTCTCTGTCACTCATTCTCTCTCTCTACTCTGCGGTGGCCTTTCGTCTGATATCCAACAAGTAAATTCTTGTTTACCTCAGATAGAATTCATCCTTTTATACAGAAGATCCCCACCACACCCTTCCCTTTGCCTTTTCCTCCTCTTCTTGTCAGCTGCAATTATATTGACTTGGGAAGCGAAACCACATGGAGAACAAAGAGCAGCTCCTTCCACAAAAAGCATGCTGTTCATGACTAGCGTGGAGATAAAGATTTCTCCCATCAAGAACTGTAAGAAAGAGGATGTTGTGTGGGTTTTCAGTGTTTGAAAAACTCAAGACCACTCTAATGTGAAGGCCTGTGGTCTCCATGTGAGTGCTCCTCTGTCAGTATACTACACACACAGCTAGAGGAACAAGCCCTGCAGCGAAGCTGTAGCTGCTGGATTAAGAAACTCTGAATGGTGAGTAGCCACAGGAACAAAATGAGCCTTATTAGCAGCCACAGTGTCTGACCTAGGAAGTCAATGAGGGGGGAGTGAAACACAGGCTAGTTCCACTGTGAGGTCAATGTTCAGTGGAATGGAATGTGTTGTTCTTCTTTTGAGCCTGATTGTAGCTCTAGTTTGTCCTCCTATGCTGCAGTTACAGCATCCACTATTCTGGGAAGGTTTACTCTAGATGTTGGAACATCACTATGAGGGTTTGATTGTATTCAGCCACAATTGCATTAGTGAGGTCAGGTACCGATGTTGGATAATTAATCAATCAATTAATCAACCTGTATTTCAAATTCATTTTAAATACTCATTTTAAAATGGGATTTAATTAATTTACACTAAAACAAACTGAACTACATGGACAAATTAACATTGAAATCAAACAAGATTATTTTAAATTTAAAGAGCAACTAAGAATGAATTAAGAAGGGAAACAAGAAAAATAAATAAAACCAAGATATATTAATTAAAACCAGTTAATAAATTTCAGCTTAAAAGGATAAACAAGGCAAACTAACATTTGAAGCAATTAAGTAAAAGGACTGTAAAAAGTAAACAGACTGTAAAAGTTAATAAACTAAAAATGAATAAATAAAATAAAATAGACAATAATAGAATTAAGATCAAGTAAAAAATACCATTTTAAACAGTCAAATAAAAAGAAAAGAGTAAAATGATTAGAAAAGACCATAATAATAAAATGAATTAAAAATGAGAACAGAAGAATTTAAACTCAACTAAAACAGTTACAGACTCTCTGAAAGTGGCTGGACATGAAAAGTTTAAAGTGTTTGAGTGACACCAGCGAGCCAAGTTTTAAAGCCTCCTGCGGTGAATTCCACCTCACTGGTGCGCTGTAGCTAAAAGCAGATTTTCTCAGTTCAGTAAAAACTCTAGGTACCTGACAGGTGATCCAGTCACCAGAGTGAGTCTAATATTCACCATTACCTTTATTTATAGAGATCACAGATGAGATATAAGCTGGCATATGGCCGGAGAGTTATTTATAAATAAACATGAGCAAGTGTGTTTCCTGTCGTGTTGCTAATGAAGATCAACCAACTTTTTCATGCAGTCTGCAGTGGTGAGTGTTATAAGGATAATGATAGATTGAGTCAATGATAGACTGAGTCTAGTGGTTTGGTTACTGGTAGACACATATCTATAAACTACATCACCATAGTCCAGGACTGATAGTAAGGTTGCCTATGTGACTCTTTTTCTGCTATACATGAGCAGACAAGACTTATTTCAATAAAGGAATACTAGCTTCTGCCTACACTTACTGACCAGTTTATTAATGTGAGATTTAAAAGTGAGTTTCTCATCCAGCTAAATGCCAAGAAACTTATACTCTGTGACTCACTTGATGCTGGATCCTGTCAGGGTAGTAATGCTCACAGCATTAAAACCAATATTTGGAGAACAGCATAAACTTTGTTTTCTTGGCATTTAAAAGTAATTTGTGCTTGTACCAGGCAGGCTGTAAGGCATTAACTGAGAACTGGAGTTTTTCAATTGCTGTTGGAGCAGATTCGGCTGAACAGTTTAAAATCATGTCATCTATGTACAAGTGCTCTTTGCAGTCTGAGGCAGAGGTGGCGATATCATTTAGATATATGGTAAATGAAACTGGACCCAGGATTGAGCCTTCTGGGACTCCTTTGGTTACAATAATTAAGTCTAACAAAATAGTTTTCCCCTATGGCAGGGGTGCCCAGTCCTGGTACTGGAGATCTAACCCCCATCTAGCTAATCTGTCTGCCATCTGTTTGTCCATCCACTGTTCCGTTATTTTGTATGAAACTCACAACATGCAACTAAATGCATCTCGCACAGTGTAACTTTGTCAAGCCAACTTACTGTTCTTCATTACTGTCTTCAAATTATAATTATTCAATCTTTTTTGAACCATTTAAGCTAGAACCACAAAACTTTGCAGGGTCATAGAGCCTATATGCAAGTAGTGTGCTTATGGTTTTAGGACCGATAGCATATTGCTGTTGTTGGAAGAAATCCTTGTATCTCCAAAATGATAACTTTACAGGAGAAGGAAAAAACCTACTTTACTTTTAATGTAAGTCAATGAAACCAGACTTTTTCCATGTCATTTTGGGTCATTTCTTTTAGTCCATTCATCATGAAATTTACATACAATGTAAAGTGTAACAGGTATTTTGAAATTATATCAAAAACTGAAAAATGTCAAAAATGGAAAGGTTTTCAAACAGCGTTCATTTAAGCACAAGCAATGGCCTAGCAACACCTTAGCAAGCAAATGCGACACCAAAGCAACAGTCTAGCAACACCTTAGCAACCACCTGGGATACTACAGCAATGGCCAAGCAACACATTAGCAACCACCTGGTATACCATAGCAATGGCCTAGCTAGAATACAATAGCAACCTCATAACAACACCATAGCTACTACCTGGATTTACTATATAAACCCAGTTATGTTATCAAAAACAATTCAACAATCGTCTGCAACCATTTTAACTTTGAAGCATCATTAACAAGAGAGGTAAGCACAGTGTGTAAATTCAAGCAAATGTGAACGTGCTGTGAGGATGAATGTCTCTAAAGCCAGTAAATTTAAACAGGCATCTGATGTATTTCCAAGCACACAAATCTACACTTACATCAGGGTTGGTGAGTTTGGAGATGTCAGGGTAAAGGTAATAGGCAATGCCCTGTCCAGCACCAGGGAGAGTGACCCCTCTGAAGAACAGGATCAGCAGCATGAGGTACGGAAACATAGCTGTGAAATACACCACCTTACAAAGATACACAAACACTATTATGTCATTACATATGTTGGACAAAAATGTACTGATTTGAAAACAGGCATGACGTACAAGACCAATAAAATGCTCCTGACACGTGAAGTGTTTTTAAACAAAAACTCTAGGTTTAATTTTTTTAACTATCTCCTCAGTAATCTCTCCAGAAAAATAACTAAATAATATCCTGATAAAATAAATACCTTGTACGTAATGGCTGTTTAAACTGGAAATTATATAAATGAAGGGTGGTCTCTGACTCTTGCATACTACAAACCTGTTCCCAAAAAAGTTGGGATGCTGTGCAAAATGTAAATAAAAACAAAATGCAATGATGTGCAAATCATGTAAACCCTATATTTAATTAAAAATAGCACAAATACAACATATCAAATATTGAAGCTGAGATTTTTTTGAAAGTATATGCTCATGAAACATGATGTCAGCAACATGTTTCAAAAAAGTTGATTCAAAGTTCATAAAATTCTCAGGAGCTACAAAAGACTAGTACAGCAATTGCTCTATATATAATTGACTATTTTAAATTAAATATAGGGTTTAACTGATTTGCACATCACTGCATTCTGTTTTTATTTACATTTTGCACAGTGTCCCATCTTTTTTGGAAATGCAGTTATACTCCAGATACTCACATACATACATTAAATATGGGACAAGCTCAAGTTAACTAATATAACAAGTGGTTTCTCCAAATTCAACACAAAATGCCACTTTTACTGACTACTGCAGTCTCAGAATTATAAAACCCCCTGAATAGAGTCCATCATAAGAGCACACATTTACAAATCAGGTGTTGTCTCAAGCACAAGGGCTTCATTAGTTGCATCAGGTGTGCTTAAGACAAAACACATGAAATACCTGGACTCGCAAGGAGGTTGTAGACTGTGAAAATATGGCTAAGTCAAATCTAAAAGAGATCACTGCCTTGCACAAACAAGGAAAAGGGTACAGAAAGATAGCAAATGCACTAAACGTTCCCAGAGATATAGTTGGAAGTATAGTTTGGAAGTTAAAATTAAAGGAACACTACCTAGGCGTGGCAGACAGAGGAAGCTAGCACTGGCTGCCACCAGATTCCTGCGGAGGCAGGTGGTCAAAAACCCTTGAGTGACCGCAAAAGACCTGCAGCAAGATTTGGTGGCAGCAAGCACTGAGGTATCAGTTTGCACAGTGAGGTGCATACTACACGCTGAAGGTCTCCATGATTGAATTCCAAGCCATACACCTCTACTGACCCAAACGCACAAGAAAACTTGACTCCAACATGCTCAAAACCATGAAAATAATCCACAGAAGATTTGGGATTCAGTTCTGTGAAGCAATGAAACAAAACTGAAACCTTTTGGGCTTATGGATCAAAAGAACACCCTGACTACAGTGAAGCAAAGCAGTTGCTCGGTGATGCTCTGGGCCTGCTTTGCTTCCTCTGGCACTGGAAACCTACAGCATTTGGAGGACAAGATGGATTCAATAAAGTGTCAGGAAATCCTAGGAAAAACGTCATGCCTTCTGTGAGGAAGCTGAAGCTCGAGCGTCACTGGGTTATCCAACAGGACTGCGATCCTGAACATACCTTCAGAAGAAGTCCTGGAAGATTCTGGAGTGGCCGTCACAGTCGCCTGACTTGAACCCCATAGAAAATCTTTGGTAACATTTGAAGAAGCCAGTTGCAGCTCGCAAACCCAAGAATATTAGTGAACTAGAGGCCATCGGCCATGAGAAATGGGCTAAGATTCTTCAGGAACGCTGCCAGAAGCTGGTGTCTGGCTATGCATCATGTCTGCAGCAGGTCATAACAGCAAAATGTGCTGCATTCAGTAATAAAGATGCTTATATTGAAGGGGTTGAATAATTCTGGTACTGCAGTAGTCATTAAAAGTGCCATTTTGTGTTGATTTGGAGAAAACACTTGTCATATTAGCTTGTTGAGCTATTTAAATTGTTCTTATTTGATTGGTTTAATGCAAACAGCTGAAAGCAACTGATTGCAACTGTATATAATGCATATGGGACATATTCTTCTGTCTACACATATTGATAATACATATTAATGTAATATATGCAGGATATACTGTACATATGTGCCTACTGACCTTCCCAGTGACCTTCACTCCTTTCCAGATACAGAAGTAGCAGATAGTCCAGACCAACAGGAGACATCCTGTTAGATCATAGTGTGGCAGGCCCAGGGAATCATCACTGGTTACCCTCAGCACCTGATTACTGAGAACACACACATAATAAAAAAAGAAGAAAAATTCCAGGGAGAATTCACATTATGAGCAGGTGTCCAATGAAATGAAATCAGTAATATTTTTTGGAAAGAAAACCACAGAAATGGCATCAATGGGAATTGATTCAATTACCTCAAAGGAAAATATAAAGTGCAAGAAAAATGTAGAACTTGGATCATTCAATGTGTTGCACATGCACATAACATGTATCACTGCTGTCTGGACAAACCTTTTTTTAACATAGTTTGAAAACACCAGCACTTTTAATTGTGTGAATATTCAATGTGGAATGGACCAGTAGGAATGCTTCAAAATGACTTGAAATAAAATCTTGCACTGTTATGTAAGTCATTAATAACTAATAATTATTAATAACTAATAATATTAATTACATGAATATACATTTAAATGTATTAACGTTCTCCTTCTCCTGTAAAGTTGAAGATACAAAGCTTTGTTCTTACAGTGACAGCATGTATGCACAAGTAATATATATTTACTAAACTAAATTGAACTAAAACTAAACTGTTCACAGCTTAAATACTTGTACCTCTAACACTCATTGCACATCTTTTCTGTTATCCACAGATTATTTTGTATGTTGTGTATGATATTATATTATTGTATTTTGTACTTGGCAAATAAAAAGCCTCTGATTCTGTAATCAACACGCAACTGTTACTCCATGGAGGCTGATATGGAGCAGTTGAAACTGAAAACTTCCCAAATTCGGTGTTCCCTGATCTGACATGAGCAAAGTTAGAAAAAAATGCCGCTGCTGCTTTATACAGTTTTATGACCTCCATATGTGGCCTTTGCACGCACATGGGACGTAAACACAAACACTGGCATGATGGATGCATGTGTTTTACTTCTAAAGTTTAGTTCTGAGGGGCTCTAGTCGACAAGGATAAACATGCTGTTCTCATCCAAGAGAGCCATTTCCCAACAACATGTGCAGCTAGGGATGTGTCAGGCGGGTAGGGAAGCCAAAATGAAATCCCTGCCTCTGAAAAAAGAAAGATAGAGTCTAAGAGAACATTTGGAAAGAAAGGAGTACAAAATCACTTGGGGAATTGCTCGGTGTATAGTTTCAACCCACTCTGTTTTATGTGAGAGTGGGGCGGCAGGGGTTGGGGTTGGGGGGTGATGTAGGCATGTACAGGCGTGTTAAATCTTTCTATGCCTTATATTGCAGGGATTCTTTCCCACATGTTGAAAGAACAAAGTTCATATTAATCTGTCCAAGACTTAAGGGAGTTTCCTTGCTTGAAAAATGTCTCAGGAACAGTAATTGTAAAGGAAAAAGAAGAATGCTCTTTCATTCAATGTAGCAAGATTTTCGTCCACATTATTTTGAAGCCATGTTCACTGACTCGCGGCTTAACTTGGACTCAAGACTTAACACTTGGAATTTAACACGTGTAATTTCAGTCTGAACAAACAAAACTGGTTAAATTAAGACCACCAACGTTAATATGGTAAATAAATAAAACTGTTTATTTCCGACCTTACGTGAAGGCCAGTTTTGCTACAGTCATGCACATTCAGAACTGCAACGCTGTTCTCCCACAGCTCACAGCACCATCAGGTTTAATACGGCTTCAGATAACAAGCTGTAATGCTGGGTGAATGAATAAGGTTTATTAAAAAGACACTAAAAGGGTAAAATTAACACCAGACCAGGTCAAAAACCAAAAGAGCAAAACATGGTACATAGGATCAGACAAAAAGAGTTGTAAGGAAACAAGCGAGGGTCTAAACCAAAAAGCAAGCAAACCGGTAACCTTAGCTAAAGGGGAAAATCCAAAAAACAACAATAATAGGCAAAATGGGGTCATAACAGGAGAACTAACAAATGAGAAAGGCTCGGTGCACACTGGCAAAACAGGGTCAATACTCTGCAACAAATGAAACAGACAGGTATATATGTGAGAGGTAACAGGTGAAAGCAATTAGAATTCTGATGACTGAGATCTGATGACTAGTGGAGATTGTCTGGCTGGGTCATGTGACTGACTAATGCATCTTGGGAGTTGGAGTCCGTAAGAGAATAAGTTTGTCTTAGAGCCGGGAAGCATGACACAAGCCTTTCATTACAGAAGAACCTTAAACTTTATGGACAGAACACAGCATTACATATAGAAAATGCACTGTTTAAAAGAAACAACTTGAAATGTTAGCTAGCATCCGAGACATTGTAGAGAAGGAGGAGACAGTTCACTGGTTTGAAAATGAATGGGAAACCGTGTAACGTTCAACGTAGCATCTGTTTATGCGGAAAATCTCGTCCCTCTCGGTGTAGAGAAATGTGCATGCACAGTAGCCATAACAAAGCTGAAAAACATGTTTTTGTGCATTACAAACCATTTATGTTGTTTTTGTCAGATTTAACTGGTAATTTCAAATATGTTTCTGAAATGAAAGACTGGAAACAGCTGCCATTTTAGCTGAACTTGTAGGTTAATCTGCTTGAAGTTTTAGTAAGCTAAAGATCACATTTCTTGAAAACTTAGTACAATTTCAGCTAGATTAGATTAGCTAGCATTTGTCCTACATTAACTACACACTAGCCAACCGTTTCAAGTTGTTTTGCCTTTTTCCTCCAAACACAGTATTCACTATGTGTAGTGCTTCAGTTCTGTTCTCCAGACTGAAGGTTTTTCTATAATGAAAGGCTTGTTATGTGAAGGCCCGTTTAGTGGTGTTAAACGAGATACTCTACTAAAGACTCAAGGCTCACAACCCAGAGACTTGAGACGTGACTCTACTACTTGCATGAATCATTTTGTGAACATCTCTAGACAATGCTGCTATGACATGTCAATACTGTAGTGTGTTTAAGAAACGTTTGCATTTCGGTTTTAGGTTGGTGTCCTTCAGCATTTATTCACTGGGTTTATTTTGCTGAGGACTCTTATTATAGAGGGTGGGGCTAGGAGCCACCCCAGAGTGTGCATGAGCAGTGAGACAAAAGAAAAACTCTGCTAAAATATGATGTAGCTGTAGCCAACAACAGCTGGAAAATAAAGCACTACAACTTGTGCAAAGGTTGTGTCTCTTTTAATAGCAGTGAACACTACAATACTATTCATCTCAAATCAACTGTCTTCAGTACATTATAGTTTTTATTGTGAATGCATACTACATTTATTAAGCACTTAAAAAAGTGATGCATTGAATTGACATGGCTTAAATCCATACATAATTTCCAAATGAATAAAATATATTACATCAACACAAATTTTCTTTTTCTGTATACTTTTTGGCAATAATTGTGTCAAATCATGATACTGATCTTATCCAGAATATCCCACTGCATAGACTTTGTATTGTTGAGTGTTGAGTGTTGAGTGTTGACATGTTGCTCATTGAGTTTTTCTAATGCTTGCAGGGCTTCATAATAATTCTTAAGAACAAAATCACATATTTAAGTTTTAAACAACTTCTCCTATCCCTTCTGTGGTGTATTGAGGCAGGTAATAGTGTTGTGTAGAAGCACAAGCTAGCGAGAAGAACACATTCAGCATTATAAATGATTGCGGTCAATTACTGGAGAAAAGCATGGCCACAGGAAAGCAAACAAGAGGCAAATGTGAGGAATTTCATGTTGTACTTACAGCCAGAACTCCTCCTCTGGGGAAACAACTTCATATGGCAGCGTTTCAGAGAAGCTGGAATTGCTGCTGAGGGAAACAACCACACTTAAAATCTCCATAAATCCAGGCTGGAAAAAATAAAACAGTTACTTTCTTTCCCTTTTCTCTTTATGAGTTAATGTCCCATTGAGGCATATAATATACAATAGATTTTGTCATTAAAATGAATTAAGGGCTTAATATTAGACATAAAATTGATATGTTACAAATCATTGAAATGAAATGACCTTCAATTGTTAACTGTTAACATTCATTTGAAGCTGTTTACATCTTTAGTGAGTGAAGTGTAAAGGAATCATAACTTGTTTTACCCATACATACTTCAGAGGAGCAAATATAACTAGACAATTGGCTTCACTTCTTTCATGGTCAGCTGTGCCTCATTGCATAATTCTCAAGAGAGCTAACAAAAGGCAAAAGATCTAGAGTTGATTGTAGGTGTGGTATTTGCATCTAGAGACTGTTGTTATTGTCTCTCAACATGAGGATCAAACTTACCTCTTAACTTCACACTACCTTGTATTCTAAATGATTTAATCAAAATTCTAAGTATTTGGAAGTTATTAAATGATAAATACACTATATGATATAAAAGTATGTTGACACCTGACCATCACCTCTACATGAGCTTGACTGAATAAACTGTTCGCATTGATTTACCAGACTTTTAGCAACTCTTACAACTAGCTCCTCAGTCAGAGTTAACCCTGCCTATAGAGTAAGCTGAATTGTTTATAAATGATAGGTGCCGTTACTTATCAGTTTCATATTGTAAATATTCACATATTTTTTTCTTTGTGACATGCCTCTGCAATCTACTGTTCATCTTACAAAGTGCTTGAAAGCTCTAAAGTGTCATTTTGTCATTTTATGCATTTGTTTGCAAAATATTTTTTTATTGGATAAAACACTGGTTATAAAGTTTTGAATGGTAGTGTTTATGTCAGGTTATTTGAAAAACATCTTTTTATGAGCATTTTCATTTTGAGCTTTACTCCATGTTTTCAGGTGCAAGACTATTTACCTGTAGTTGTCGATATCATAGCTATCAGTTACATTATAGAGGAAGGACCAGTCAGAGTCTGGTCTGTGCAGGCCTGAGGACAGCAGGCTTCGGTTGAAAGTATGGCAACTGTCTGTGGACAACGTAGAGCAAAAGTCAGAGTTGAAATCTTTCAGTGGGATGACAGCAAATTGGAAGGATAGTGTGCTGTCCCTGCCAGTTGAAGGGCAAATATTTAAACCTTTCAGGTTTCCTAGATTAGCATTGAGCCATTGTGTGTAGATCATAATGCAGATCACTGTTCATCAGCCTTTTGAATAGGGACAAACATGTACCGGCGGATGCACAGCAGAAAGATTAATATGAACAATTATAAAATGATAAAATGGGTACTTCTGGTCCTGAAATCTAGCTTAGCCATGTTCACAGCTTTACATGCACGCTTAGGACTGCATCACAACAACTCAATTCTGTATTAAGTTACTAAAACTGTTGTGCTGTAAATGGACTGTTATGCTGTGCACATGGACCCCCGAGTAGATAGATGAAGTAAAAACCCAGTTTTGTTTAAAATAAGGGAGGAAAACTTATCAGGCTAAAGGCTAGATTTTAGCTAACTAACAGGCTAAAAGCTAGCTAACAGGCTAAACCGCTCCTTCACTAATATGTGTTAGGTTTGAAGTACTTATTGAATAGTTCACTGTAAAATTGCAACAGTAAAAGTACATAATAAGTTACTTGAATGTTTTACATGTTTAAAATGTCTGTCTTCAATGGTTACACCCAGTGTACTTTCCGCTAACACAACACAGGAAATTACACTGAGAAGCTATTGGAAATTAGCATTTGCAGGGATTGCAGGGATAATTTGGTGAGCAAAGACTACTTATAAGGCAAAGGTTTATGCAGAAAACTCTATTTTAATTATTATAAAAAATTTACATGTTCATGAAATGACAATGATGGATGACTGAAAGTTTTTGTACTCTTTTTAGCTAGGGCTGGGAGTCAATCCCCCCCCCCAAAAAAAAAGCTAAACCATACACTAAACATAAAAGTGTTAAATTAAACTGAATATGAGATCATTTAAACATACTAAATTTCACTTAAGTGCTGAGTAAACTACCTCTACATGTAATACTAGGTACTGTACCTGTGTTCCACACATGGTCGCAGGTGGTCCAGGGCAGGCTGCTTCGGAAGCAGTTGAAGAAGTAAAAGACATCCCAGGCCAGAACCACAATGTAGTAGATGTTCAGGTAGATGACTATAACCTGAGAGGCAACTCCAACTCCTGCAAATACCACACATGAAGTTAGCTAAGGGGGAAACTACTGCTTCTACATAGTTAAAGCGATAGTCCATTGCAAACTCAAATCTAGTCCAAATATTAGCCAGGCTTTGGTGCCCAAAGTTTGCTTCTTTTATTTGGGTTAAGTTAATGTAGCTAACAAGTAATAGAAGCTTATAGCCCACCAATTAGCATCGTGCAAACTGCATACCTAAGTTGTGCATTTTTGAAGATAACAGATACAGATAATAGTCCTAGAGTGTCAGACACCACATAAGCAAGTCTATTTGAGAGGAAATTGAGCCATTTGTTACATCCATGTGACTTTTATGTGAATTTATGTACCGAAACAGTCATCATTTATTTTTACACAACCATTTTCCAACTTCTCTTTATCCCTTATTATTAAACAGGTTGTTTTTGTTGTTGTGCCTTTAAGACTGATGTATGGAAATGACGTCTGTTCTGATTGGCTGTCCTGTATTGTGCCTCATTGAGTGCAGGTTGTAGCATTCCTCTAACTTCAACATGAATGGATAAGGATAAACTGCTGTAGGCCAAAAATCAGATATATGTAAAAATATTATCACAAAAACGGTTTTGAAATTTTAACCATGTCTACATCCTCCATCAAACTCATTTAGAAGAAGAATTCATTCCTGCCAAGATATGAGCCCTTTAACAATCCAGCATGGTCTTGGGCAAGGTTTCGGCATTCAGGCACAACTCTAACTGGTATACATAAACTTGCATTACTTGATAGCTGCATTGGCCCCCAAGCTCCAGTGCATTTTTGCCAAACTATCATGTAACACCACCTCACATTGTTAAAATGAGGCACCATTATGTGTCTTTATAAGACATTTTCTTTTTAAGACAGAAAGTACCTTCAAACATAGGACAGATTTTCCTCCAGGCTGTGATCCCTCCTTCACTGGTGTATTGGCCCAAAGCCGTCTCCAGGAAAAATACAGGGATGCCGCAGAAGATGAGGAAGACAAAGTAAGGGATGAAGAATACACCTACATTTAAAAAAAAAAATTAAAAATCAAGACCGGCTCTAGTTATATGGAAGGTTTTAACTGTTTAATGTAATGGTAATGACATTATTTCTCACTCTCATAACATGGCAATTATTTTCATAGTAATTACTGAAAAATAAGCTTAAGGTGAATGACTGAACGATAAGACCACAGCTTAAGAGGCTAACGGAACAGATCTTGGCAAACCTAATAAATATTCATTATTTCTCAGTTAAGGAAATAACATCTGCAGACCGGCTTAAGGGCTTCAGACAACAACAGCTAAAGGGAAAGGAATGTATTGTTTAATAAAAGTGCATGATTGACTGTGTTTGGACATGCTCTTCATCATGAGGGTTTCAAAAGAACAAAGAGAGCCATTGATGGATTCAAATCCTGTTCAATGCTCTGGGTCAAAAGCTGTTTTCTGATGTGCTGAACCTTAGATATTAATCCCCTCCTTCAACATTCCCACCAAACCCTACAAACCTAAGACAAACACTTTTGTTTTTATACCCTGCCAGGGCATAGGGGTCATATATGCTTTACACACACACACACACACACACACACACACACACACACACACACACACACACATACATATTGTTCAACAACCAAAAATATCCAGCCAATAACCTGCTGTGGATCATTCTCAGTACTGCAGTAACACTGATGTGGTGGTGGTGTGTTGGTGTGTGTTGCACTGGTCTGAGTGGATCAGACACAGCAGTGCTGCAGGAGTTTCTAAACACCTCAGTGTCACTGCTGGACTGACAATAGTCCACCAACCAAAAATATCCAGTCAACAGTGTCCTGTGGGCAGCGTCCTGTGACCACTGATGAAGGACTAGAGGATGACCAACGCAGCAGATGAGCTATCGTCTCTGACTTTACATCTACAAGGAGGACTGACATGGTAGGAGTGTCTAATAGAGTGGACAGTGAGTGGACACAGTGTTTAAAAACTCCAGCAGCACTGCTGTGTCTGATCCACTCGTACCAACACAACACACACTAACACACCACCACGTCAGAGTTACTGCAGTGCTGAGAATGATCCACCACCCAAATAATACCTGCTCTGTGAGGGTCCATGGGGGTCCTGACCACTGAAGAACAGGGTAAAAGGGGGCTAACAAAGTATGCAGAGAAACAGATGGACTACAGTCTGTAATTGTAGAACGACAAAGTGCACCTATATAGTAAGTGGAGCTGATAAAATGGACAATGAGCATAGAAACAGGGAGGTGGTCATAATGTTATGCCTGATCGGTGTATATACATGCATATGCATGATTCCAATCCCAACCTCAAAAAAATTGGTTTTGCTCTTTCAGTTTTAAAAAGATGAAACATGGAGCTTTTACTTAAACACACTTTACAAAGTCAGGAGCATGGCGTTGGTGCTGAACATACACACCTCCTCCATTCTTGTAGCACAGGTAAGGGAAGCGCCACACGTTGCCCAGGCCTATGATCTCTCCAGCCATTGACAGTAAGAATTCAGTCTTGTTGGACCATTTCTCTCTGGGCTCTGGTCTACTGGGCTGATACTCTTTGTGAGAGTCCGCAGCTGGCCCATTAGGAGTGTCTCCTCCTCTGCTCTCCTCCATAATGCCTGTCTCTCTCTTACACACATCACAAGTCACAATGCATTTATCTCCTTTTTGTTTATTTATATTGAAGCATCTGCCATGCAATAGTTACAATAATTAATGTAACCTCATTATAATAAATCACTCTCTGTTACAATGAATGCTGACGAATAATGATCAAAACTTTATTAGAGTTATTTGTATAATTAATTCAGTTATGGTGAATTAATAAGCAGCATATATAAAGGAGAAGACTGAGCAAATGGGGATGGCTCAAATCGTAAAGTGTCCATAAGTGTTATAAAATAACAAGAATGACCGTTATTAAGGACTTCAGGACTATGTCTGAGTGCTGCAAACGTGGCTTTAAAAGTGCAACGCTTCTTCCAAAAAGAGTAAAAATGGCTGCATGAGTAGAAGCATAAGAGGCTTTGCATTAACATTTGGCTGCAAAAATATATATATATATATATTTACATTTGCAACATGAACAGTAAGATGGACAGAGAGTGCAGACTCACCAGAGCGTTCTGTCCTGAGTCCCTGTAAGTGTCAAAATGAGCGTCTGAAGTCAAAGTCCTCTAGTCGTTCTGAGGAATGCACTGGGAATCTGCGTGCGAGCGTTATTTCTTTTATTCCTATTATCACCACCCGTATTCCGACAAGCCCCTACCCCTTCGCTAGAATTGGCCAATAGTTTTCTATCAATTTTTCCTACCCGTTTTCCGCACCTTCTAGCCAGGGTTGGCGTTAGGACTGATCCACCAGCCAGTCCTCGCACAGTGGGCGGGGCTTGACGAAATACAGGTGGAGTTGTGAAACAACTGGCAAGAGGACGTGTCTGGTTTGATGCTTTGGAAGTTCACTGGAAGCATTTAACCTCATCGAGGGAATTTAGGATTTCAGACCATTAAATCTGCCCTTACTCAGACTCCAATGGGAGATCATTTAAACATAATTTAGATCATTTAGAAAGCTATTTGGGTTGATCTCCAAAATGAGTGATCTCCAAAATGGTAAGTTTACAGGAGAAGGAAAAATATTCTTAACTTTCAATGGAAGTTAATGAAACAAAATGGGATTCTTAAGTCATTTTTAAGCCATTTCTATCACTCTGTATTATGACACAATGTAAAGGGCAACTTTTGTTCCGACAGCAACAATAGAAGACTATATAATATTAAATGAAATATTAATTTTGTATAAAAGCATATTAAATTAAAATAGATATGGTTCATAACTCTGTAGTTTCTTAGTGTATTACCACAGTTCCTTTTCTGTAAGGGAGTAAATACAGTGCAGAACTATTTCAGTTTTACCCAAAATTGGGGTTAATTTAGAGCTTTCCACTGTGCCGTTGTTTTTGGTAGTTTGCTGCTCTTTGCTTTATCCATCTCCATGTCTGGCAAGCACTGTCCACTGTAGTCAGCTGAAGGCCTTTTCCGGTGCTAACATTACTGATATATTACTAGTATTGTCATTATTAATCAATTAACTTTGACATTACTCATTTATTCCAATGTTATATAGTGCTTTTATGATGGTTTCGAACTATTGTTGTGCGCAGTACTATTTTTGATTACTTAAGACAGAAAATTAGGCCTTTCTCCAATCCTCTGTGATAAAGAATATATGCCTGCATTTATCTGTAGTCATTCAGTTTTTGCAGAACTATTTAAATTATTGAAAGCGCTATAAATCATAAGAAAAAGCATCATATGAAATCTCTGGTGTACCACCACAGCCCACAAGTTGACAACCACTGGTGAGGAGTGTTCTCATTATGTAGAGGTTTAAAAAAAAAACTTTAAAGCTTTAAAAAGGTTCCTCACACTCACATTCCATTTCCAAAGATGGTTCTTCCTAAAGTGGTTCTTCCATGGGATTCTTCCAAAGAACCCTTTTAAGCCCTTTCATTTTTAAAGATATTTTAATTAGTCTCTCTGGCAGTAGCCACTGTGATATTGTCCTGCTAATGTGGTGCATCTCATAGCGCTGCTGGTTTGAAGTCAAACCACAAACCAATCAAATGATCACATTCATGTCATATTCATATCACATTCACTGTTTCAGCAAATAATCAGGGTGGGAGCATGTGGAAGCCACTGGTTCTCATTCATACCCCTCATTGTAAGGGTAATGTCTCCCTGCTTTGTTGTAACCAATGGTAGACAGTAAAGAAGTACATGGATGTTATAACTGTACTTAAGTACTTTTTTTAAGATTCTGTACTTTTATGAAGTATCTCCATTTCTTGAGACTTTTACTTCCATTCCACTATATTTCACAGTAAATATCCTATTTTTACAACACTTTCTGAAAGATCCTGTGACAGTAGATTTTCTATAATATACGAAAGAATATGAGGCACTTTCACAAATAAATCAAAGCAGTCATAGCACATCTTTTACTAAATCCCTCCCCTGAATGCTCAATGTCCAAACATAGCTTAGCAACTGAAGCTAGGCCCGTGTACCTCTGACAAGCTATCAGAATTAAAGAAAATGCTGTAATGTTTTGTAGGGTATTTTTAAATCAGATACTCAATTTTCTAGGAGTTTGAATGGAGAGTGGAATTTTACCCATTTCCTAAACTGAAGACACAAGAGGGGAAAAGTGGGGTTGATAGAATATCTCATTATATTTTTACTTTTTATCCTTAAGTACAATTAAATGCAAATACTTTTGTACTTCAACTCAAGCAAAAAATCTAAAGAGAGCACTAAAACATTTACTTGCGTAAAGAGTATCTCTCTTTTCGCTGAAGTACTGGATTTGTGTACTTTGTGCACCACTGATTGTAACCTCATGAAGCATGTGTTAATGTGCTACTGAGTTGAGTCATGTGTTGTAGCATGGAAACACCAACATATGCAAAGCCGGGAACTCCAGGAGCAGAATGTAGAAGCACAGGACAAAGCCAGCCAGCCTTGGAAGCCTATTGACTGGTTCAGTGTTTTCCCTGGTTTAACCTCTCAAAGCCTTGAAGACTTGGAAAAGAGGAGTGATTTCAGACGTTTTGTAGAGGATGATGCTCAATATCCACTCACCGAGCACTTGTTTCTACACTCATTGTCCATTTTTCTCACCTGCACTTACCATAAAGGTGCACTTTTGTCATCCTACAGCTAAAGACTGTAGTCTGTCTGTTTCTCTGCATACTTTATTAGCCCACCTTTTACTCTGTACTTTAATGGCCAGGATCCCCACAGAACCACCAGTGACACTGACGTGGTGGTTTTGAGTTAGTGTGATGAGATGCACTGGTATGAGTGGATCAGACACAGCAGTGCTGCTGGAGTTTTTAAACATCTTGGTGTCACTGTTGTACTAAGAGTAGTTCACCAATCAAAAAATATCCAGCAAACAGCGTCCTGTGGGCAGCGTCCTGTGATGATGTGGGATGAGCAACACAAATTGAGCAGAAACAGATGAGCTACTGTCTCTGACTTTATATTTACAAGGTGGACTGACGAGGTAGGAGCGTCTAATAGAGTGGACAGGAAATTCGGAGGATACCAATCCCTGTTGAACATGTTTAAAAACTCCAGCAGCACTGCTGTGTCTGATCCACTCATACCAGCGCAACACACGCTCACTCGCCACCACCATCAGTGTGACTGCAGTGCTGAGAATGATCCACCACCCAAATAATACCTGCTGTGTGGTGGTCCTGTGGGGTGGTCCTGACTATTGAAGAACAGGGTAAAAGGGGCTAACAAAGTACACAGAGAAACAGATGGACTACAGTCTGTAGTTGTAGAGCCACAAAGTGAACCAATATGGTAAGCAGAGCTAATAAAATGAACAAAGAGTGTAGAAATAAGGAGGTGTTCTTAATAAAGTGCTGGGTGAGTGCATATCAGACACAGTGTATATTGTATTCATAAAATTCTGATAACATTTGAAATGCCAGCCCTGACACTGGAGAGCCCTGTCTTCATCCTAAATCTCAGATTTCAAAGTGTGTTTTGTATTGCTAGCAACTTGACAAACAATGATAATGGAAAATCCAGAGTATCCAATTTACACACACACACACACACAAACAAAGAGAGAGAGAGAGCCCCTGCTAATGATATGAGGGCATTAAAGACATTCTTATGATTTACAGAAATGTAATGAAATTTATGGAACAGGGTTCTACTGTTAAGTGACCTCATCACATCAGTGAAAATAAAATGAAAGTACTTTCTTTTCTTCCTCTCATAATCTTCAGGAAATTCGGAGGATACCAATCCCTGTTGAACATGTGACTTGTGGAATATTCCTGTTATTTCATATGTCTGATAATGTTCAGCTAACGGGGTTGAGCGAATGAGCAAAAATGTACATTTTTCATTTTTTATATCATATAGTGGATGACTAAAATTCAGACATTAGTGCGAAAAGATTTTTTACGTGTTTTAATTTTTTTTTTTTTTTCAAAATAAAAGGTAGTTTTAGCTGGGACGACCAGAAATACTGTTTTGTATGTGATGTAGGTTATTACCTTCACTTTACACTGCATATCTGTAAAAGCAATAACCTTGGCACCACAATGCTGAAACCAGCGGGCCTGTTCACTTTCCTTTTCTACGAAAACCCTCATGAATCATCGGGGTTTCGGTGCGACATGTCCTGGCGTCGTTACGTCCACAGTGACGTATGCGGAAGCGGCAGATAAACAATAACAACGAAGTGCAGCAACCAAGAGCTCAAATAAAAATAATAATGACGATAATATTAATAACGACAGCAGCAGGGCTTTACTGCTTTTAAATTAAAGGCAACTGTACTTCGTACTTCGATAAATAATAGACTGAATCAGTCCTGCCAAGAGGCACGAAAACGCATCGGATAAGGTAATGTTAGATAATGTAGTGTAATGTACAGCACAGCGCGTTAAGTTAGCTGTTTAGACCGCTGTTGTGACTGTTATGAAGACTAATGTGAGAGCAGTAGCCCCAGTAACGGCATCGAGGCTGTAAAAATGTGCTCAATTTGTTCAGTTAGACGGTAAACGATAAGAGATTTGGTCACCCGTGAAATGTGAAATGTGTTGATACGAACTTACCGCTAAACAACAGACTTAGCTAACATCTTAAGTTTCAGAAAGTATTCGTTTTGTTGAACAAATCCGCTTTTATCCATGTCCACTTAGCCGTGTTTCCATGGGAGTGTACGTTAGTCTCTCTCTCTCTCACTCTGGACGAACCCTATATAACGTTATATCCTATATATAACCCTAGATGAATTTCAGATCTATGCCATATATAAGCATATATGGATTTCCCTTATATTCAACTTATATTTGTCACATATTGACATATATGTGACATATGTGCCAACTTGAGCTGCTCTTAGAGCTGGTTTCCAGGACAAGGAAAAAGCCTAATCATGGACTCAGTTGTCCCAGCTGTCAAAATGCATTGCTCTCTTGCGTGTATGTCTAGCCACTGTTTTTGATGTGTTCATCCTGTCTGTTCACTTTTAGGAGAAACAACACAGCAAATGACAAATATTCTAGTAAGACAATGCAAGATGCTCCACAGTTCATTAATCAGAGCTCAGGCATGACTGAAAACCCGTTGAGACCTTATGGGGCGACGTTGGGAAATGTGTGGAGAAGAAAAATCCACTCAGTATGGATGGTGTGTGGACAGCAGTGTAGAATTTGTAGGAAGTGGTTCTTTTGAAACGTTTTGTTTTAAAAAACAAGAAAATATAACAAAGTAAATATGTGAGGTTAATCTATAAAATGTTAGTGTGTATGCTGTCAGTATGTTTGACAGTGTTCTGTTTATCAGCATTCTGGAGGTCTTCTAATCTTATCTAAAAATATCTAACATATTTTCACTTAGTAAATCAACAACATTTGACCAGGGGTGATCAAACTTTTGCATACAACTGTACACTACTGAAGGTTTCAGTAGTAGGTGCCATGTTGCTTTTATTAGCATCACATTAGTATAAACAGTACCACCCATGTTTCAATATTTGTCAAAAACCTGGCCACCTCCAGCTGTTGTGGCATGCTCAGTGGCTTTTGACTTTTATGGCTTTCCCGTAGATGCATTGCGCTGCAAACGACAAGTGTGTGGCAGCACAGCAGCATGTGGAGAACCCAATATTTGGCCCCAAGAGCCCTGAGGAAGAGTCCTGCGAGGAGGAGATGGACACATCAGAACCCAACTGGCACTGGTTCTACCTGGCCGAGTGTGGAGTGTGGCATATGTTTGAAGTATGTGGTCGCTCCTTGCTTTGCTGTAGTCTACCACATTTGTTTCTAAAGTAGATTAAGCATTCAGCTGTTTTGCATGCTCAGTCATTTTGGCAGCTGCACATTTGTGCTCTCTGCAGATTGATCCCAGTGCAGGATGCTCAGTGACCAGCGATCAGATTGAGCAGAACTACAACAGGAATCAGCATGGCTCCATGGATTTTTACACACCTAAATATACCTATAGATTAGACTTTTCAGGTGGGATACCACACTACACAGTAAGAGCCTTTTTTAACTGAGACCTGTCTGGATCTTTTTTATCTTACACATCTTCTGTGCCTCTGATTTTGTAGTCATGAAGCAAATCAACGTTACAACTGGAAAACAGAGACCAATAAAAAGGGCTTTACAGTCTGCCACTGGATTTAGGTAATATATTTATGTATAGAACATGACAGTGAATGTCAGGTTTGTTGTTTAGTCTTTGCTCAAATGCTATATCAGTGTATTTTATAGTGTTTATATCACATAGTGTAATCGTGATGTATACACTAATGTGTAATCTTGTATCTATGTATAAAATAATGTATGTCATAATCAGGAAAGTGTGTATTACCTTTACTTTACATTGCATATCTGTAAATGTAATAACCTTGGCACCACAATGCTGAAACAAGCGGACTGATTCACTTTCCTTTTCTATAAAAAAAACCCACATTAATCTTTGCTCAGACGCTGTATCAGTGTATTTTAGAGTGTTTATATCACATTGTGTAATCGTGATATATACACTAATGTATATTTTTTCTGAAATGGTGCTCAGATTCATCTGTGATAACTTGGCTCTACCTGTCCCCTGCCACTGGGAAAGAGTTAACACTGATGAGCCTTACCAGGTATAAAAGGCCTGTACACTGCAAGAAGTAGTGTGTTGCTTTTTAATTTATGCAAATGCATGCATAATTTGAAATATACATACCCATATATTTTGTCCCATGTGGAAAAGATGTACACATTTGAATTAAGAAGAATTCTTTGCATCACTTTGATTCTCTCACTGTTAAGTGTGTAAAAACAGGTACAGCACCATTAATAATTGTGCTCATATCTGTATCCACCAAGTTCCCCATGTGACCTTGTCTCTATGTTCATCAGCTCATCCCACTGTGCAGAGACACGTTCGAGTATAAAGAGGTGGCCCGGCTGTATGAGAGGACCATGAGCCAGCCAATCAGATCCATCCAGAGAATACAGAACCTGGACCTATGGGAGTTTTTCTGCAGGTGCTCTGCTCTTATTTACTTCAGCAGTTTCAGTGAATTAGTGTATATTTGAAGACATCAGCAAGTGTTTCAGATGTTGTGCCACTACCTTTTTTGTAGAGAGAATAGTAGTGAGAGTGTAATCGGGCACATTATTTCATTTCTTGTTTCGTTTCAGTTCTTTGGAACTGTTTTGTGCAAAGCAGAGGCTTTGAAACAGTTCGAAATGCATATTATCTGCGTTTTCACCTACTGGATTCAGCTCTCTCCAATCACTTGCTCCACTGTTGCTTATGCAGGCAGTAATACTGATGTGGCTTATTATTGTATATAACTGACAGAGTGCTGAAATTAACAACTAAAAATTAAAGCCTGTTTTTTGTCAATATCACTTGGGGTAAGAAAGACAGCGAGAGAATATAGTCTAAACTTAGTAGAAACAATTATTTTACTTATAACTGATCTCTATTCTATTCTCAGCCAATTTAATGATGTCATGTCCATGAGTTAAATTTTATGTAGTAAGGTTTTAATATATAAACATTACTGATATTATCCTGTGTGTCACGATGCAAAACCCTGGTTTCAAAAGTTTGAATCAGATTGGAGCAATTGATTCATTTTACTCAAATGGTTCGAATAATATGGAATAAGCCCTACTAGATAAAAGTGTGTGAATTAGGTATTGTGATGAAATCATGCCCATTTTTCTCATGTCATGGGTTCAGAGGTACAGTAGTGAAAATACTCTGTATACAGTGCATTTACAAATCTTTTGTCATCCATTTCAGAGCTGTTTTCAACAGAAGTTTAATTATTTTTAAATGATTATACATTAACTATTCAGGAGGTTTTAACCATGTTTTTGTCTTATGTTTATGTTTTGCTAAAGAAAAAAGGCTCAGCTGAGGAAGATAAAACGTGTAATAGACATTGATGAGAGGATGCTGTTTCATGGGACGGGTCACAGCAACGTCCAGGCCATATGCACGTACAACTTTGACTGGAGGCTTACAGGAAGCCATGGCGACGTCTACGGCAAAGGTCCGGTCTTTCTGTCTTGTTCCATGAAGATAACCAATGACACCACATACTGCAACTATTATAATGTGAAGCAGCACTGTGTAAGATTTTTTGTTAAAATTTAAAGATGTAGCGTTACATAGTCAGGAGGAAAAAAACACGATAAAATATGGTGTGTCTCCCTGTAGCCTAAAATAATAATTTAAAGTCAGATGTGTCAGGTCGGATTTTGCAGGAGTTTTTCGGATCACGTCATAAGTCTTTACATATTAACATAACGTGCACAGGCTCAAAAAGAAGAACATTCCGTTGAGATGTGATGTGTGAGTTGGCTTAACTATTGCCAAAACTTTCCTTGAATGAAGTCCAGTCTTTACAGTTACCATCCAATACCTAGTTCATCTAATCATTCCCTCACTACATGAATTCAGGTGTGCTGTCAGAAACCCAGATGTAGTCATCTCACCAAGTTATTAAGGACCTTTTTTAAAAAACAAGAAAATCTTTTTAGCTCCTACTGTATTTGTTGAATTGTGTTTATTCTATTGTTATTTAGTGTTTTTACTGGCAAAACACATTTACTATCCAGATATAGTTGTAAACAATTTTCTTGGCTGCCTAAGACTTTTGCACAGTACTGCATATGCAATTATTTTAAATTGCCATTTAAGTCCAAAAATGTACATCAAATGTCACTGTTAAACACCACTGTGCGGAAGTTTGGCGGCGCTGGTCAAATTACATTTTGTTACTTTTCTAAGTGTAAATAAGTACACATCCCCTACAGAAAGGGCATTTTTATGCACAGTTAATGTTTCTTTGCTGAATTTATCCCTCTGGTAAAAAATAACACAAAATGTGGCCTATGCAAATGTTGTGACAGATTTCATAGTTTGTGGTTTATTTTTTTCCAATATGTTAAAAAAAAATGCACTAAAATTTGCAGGTAAATGCCATATTTAAGTTTGTTTCCTTTAGAGGACATGTAATTTGACCAGAGATATTCAAACTTCTGCAAACAACTGTATACTGATACTGATGTTCTCTGAATGTTCCCTGCTTCTCCACAGGAAGCTATTTCGCTCGCGATGCCAAGTACTCCAGCAAGTTCTGCCACTCGACCAGCAAGCATAACTTCACTCTGCAGAGACACGGCCTGGCGCCACCCATCTTCCAAAGCGAGCCGCCTTACAAGTGCATGTTCCTGGCACGGGTGCTGGTGGGGGAGTTCACAGTGGGTCACCCTCACTTCTGCCGGCCGCCCTCCAAAGACTTGAGCATTGCCAACTTCTTTGACAGCTGCGTAGACGACATGATCAACCCCAAGATCTTTGTGATTTTCGACAGCAACCAGATCTACCCAGAGTACCTTATCGAGTTTTACTGACGTCAAAGAAGAAGGACTAAAGCGTTAGCTTTCTAGTTTTATTTAATGACCACATAGGATGGTTGGTTCCATTAAACATGCTGAATTAGTCCTGACCTGAATAGCCATGCCTTTCCTGTGAAACAGTGCCAAAGTGACAGTGTGTTCTGCGGACATGGCGCTAATTATGGCGTGCCTTCGATGTAAACAGCATAGTCGGGCAACGGACTGGAAGCGCATAGACGGCCTAGTGTGTCCTAGTATGTCCAGTATACGTATACGAAGCTCCTGTCCATTCACTCCATGTATATGTCCCATACGCACAACTGCTTTCTCTTCTTTTTTGGGGGGATAATTTATGTATTCCATTTATCTACCTCACCGTAATTCTACCTCATGTCAAGTAGTCCTGCAGATCACAAGACATTTGCTAGGGACCCCTGTCATTTCACCTGTAGTTCAGTAGGAATTCCACCATCACTGACTTCACATTAGTCAGCAGCGAATCCTTTAGTAATTACTGTACTTGACTCACCATGTGCTTTACTGTAGGTGGTTTTAGCATCAAATGTATGGACTAGCCCAGAGCTGTTGGGAACAAGTTTATTTCTTCAACCAAAACAGAAAACCTATGTTAATGCCCAGTGTGGGGTCTTCAAATGCAATTTCAAATTCAAACCACATTGCACACCTCAGCATGCACATATGTAAAATACTGTCTATAATCATTTACACTGTATGGTCTGTATATATACATGTACATTAGAGAAATTTATTGTCCTTTGCGTGTGAGAAATGGGGGGTTAATTTCAGATGGTGCGTTATTGTGTCTCCACTGGAAACAGTAATGGGTTGAATTTACCTGATTCTACACCATTATCACATGAATCAAATGTATTACATTAACAGTTACTGCTTGACGGAAATTGTCTTAATGTAATATATTTGGTATATTTTATTCATTTGCAGATGAAAGTTAATCAAGTGAATTCACTTTTTCAGTCCAATATGATTGTGTTTGTATGGGGAAAAAGTTACTTGGAGACATCTATAACATTGATGACTCACTTGTTCACACTGTAAATGTTTATAATCTAGGCAAGTGTGTCTACCCCGATAGGAAGTGGTTGTCAAGGGGACGCCCATTGCGCAAGCACATGATGTCAAAGTAGGAGTGCCGGTTGTTTTTCCTGTTCACCTGTGCCAGTTCAAACTGTTGCCAAGTTTACCAGGAGTAACAGTGAGATGAAGTCTTCAGTGATCTCGTATTGTACAGTAAAAATTACTGTTATTTAACTGCTGTCATGTTTGCTGATATGGAATATGAGGATTATGGGATTGAGCCTATGGACACATCAGACACTCTTTGGTACTGGTTCTATCAAGCGGAATGTGGCATTTGGCACAGAATTGAGGTACTGTCCTATTTACATGTGATTTCTATTCTAAACTGTTTATTGTCAGCTTGCTGTTTTCTCAAGTCTTTTAACTACCTCGCAGGATGATCCAATAAGCTCCCTCACCAGCTCAGAATTGGAGAGGTATTACTTGAAAAACCCCCAAGGAGTTTTAGACATTACCACAGCAGGAGTCCGCTTTCGAATTAATTTCTCAGGTAATAACATTTCTCAAGACACTATGATCATTAAAAGTCCTTACTGTTGGATTTAGGGCAATAAGTGCTGTATGAAATCAGTTGTTTTTCTGATCTCTGAAAATCACAGAGCACACGCAGACCAACTTAACAACACGGAAGACAAGAAAAATAAAGCGCTCTTCTGCTACTGAACGGACTTTAAGGTCAGTATTTTTGTATATGCATGTTAAATTTGCTTAGCCTTCCTAGTGGGCTGTTCGTGAATGGATGGAAACATGAGTGTTTCACATTTGCCATGAAATGAAAGTGAAAGTGGGTCTTCTATGTAACAGATGTAAATGTCCTGACCAGGCACCATCTGTTCCAGCTCACTGGGAAAACATGGACCCTGAGAAACCTTATCAGGTATGATGTATGATTAAAACAAATCTAAATATATGTATTCTAATTTATATAGCTTTTTCACTTGAGGTTTACTATAAAACTCATAATCTGGGACAGGGGGCGGGGCAGTTGGTTAGTACTGCCTTCTGGCAAAATCATTCAGTTTCACAGTGATTAACTTACAAAAAATTTCCCCATCCAACAACTCACCTTTATAACCAAACACCAAAAGAAACTCATGTCCCATGATCAAATACTGTGCAAGGTCTTCATAATCAGTTGATATCAAAGTATACCTCTTGCTTCATCACAATATACCAAGTTCACTGCTTTTAAGCTTTTAATTCCTTGAAACTTAAGGCCCGTGTGACCACTTAATTATCATAGCTTGCATATGAGTTTTGTAATAGTTACTGAATAATTTATAATTCATTGTAGCTACTGAATAAGTCATAGCAGCTAGTGAGTAATTCAAGGTAGTTACTGAATACAGGGTTGGCTCTAGCCTTTAGGGGACCCTAAGCAGGATATTTTTGGAGCCCTCATCTTGCTACTGGATATATTGTAAAAATTAGAGGCTAAATAATAACAATGATGATCACAAACTGTCTAAATTATGTACATTTAAGACTAGCTAATCTGTGTATTTCTGACGATTGGATGCTCATTTGAGGTGAATCCTCACCATTCTCGATCCAGGGCTCTGTCTAACCAAACTGTTGCTTGCTTCCCAAGCTAACTTTTCTCATCCTCTCTCAATTCTTTTTTTAGATATCATTAACCAGTTGCTTATTCCCCTCACTTGAGCATCTATATATTGGTATAGTAATAACCCAGAAGTTGTTAGGGGGCCCCAAGCAGCTGCTTATAATCACTTAGTGGGTAGAACCCTGGTTTTAAAATGAATAATTGAATAATAAGCCTAGGGTTGTTTCATACAACCCATAAAGTAAAAATCACATTAGTATTAATAAAGTGATTTTTATTGTAATAACCTTTTAAAAGACTGTTCTCTCTTCATCAGGCTTTTTGTCTGAAGCAGGACACAAACGAGTTTAAGGAAGTGGAGAAATACATTCGAGAAATGGGTATACTGTATAAACCCATTAAAAACATTTACAGAATACAGAACGTGGACCTCTGGGAGTTGTACTGTAGGTAAGTAAACTTGTTCAATCATTTGTGCTTATTGTAATGTGTAGCAATGGCTTCTACATCTTGGTATACAATCTGTCCATACATCACTGTTTGTGTTGGGTTATGCTTAGGAAAAGAGCACAGCTAAAGAGAATAAAGGGTCAACCTGACATTGAAGAACAAATGTTGTTTCACGGCACGAGCAGAGACAATGTACATAGCATTTGCTTGTACAATTTTGACTGCAACCTCTCTGACCAGAGAAGGCGAGCTCATGTACTCGGCAAAGGTAGGTTTGAAATATTTTCTTTGTGTTTTCATATTGTTAAAAATATCTAAGATTACACAAGATGTACTTTCCTTTTTCTCTAGGGACTTACTTTGCAAAACATGCATCGTATGCTGCTAACTACAGTTTGACTGCCAACCCAGGAGTTAATACCCTCCAAATAATGTTCCTGGCACGTGTGACTGTAGGAAAATATAAGAAGGGACAGTCCGATCTCTGCAAACCTGATGGTGACCAAACAGAGAACATACATGACAGTTGTGTGGACAATGAAATGTACCCCAGAATTTTTGTTATCTTTGACTCCAATCAGATATATCCAGAGTATTTGCTCGAGTATGTTGGTTAATTTCATGAGGTAGTTGAGTTAGTCGAGTTAGGTTAGATGGCACCAACCTGTTCCGTCAAGTGCATGATCCCCACACACAAGTGAAAACACGAAAGAAATTGCAGAAGAATAACCAAATAGTAAATCTACTCACTTACTGGACCCGCGTTCCTGAGCTAGCACTTCACCACAGACCATAAATCTTTATTCTCTCGCTGAAAACATGCTTCAAGTTCAGCCATCAATCAAGACCCTCCCTCCGTAACGAGCTCACCCAATAGGAACTCATAATTGACATTCACCTGTCTTCCATGGCCTGTAGGAGGAGCCATTTTGCAGAGCTTGCACACACAAATTATTTCTCTGTGTTTGATGAGGTGTATGTTTTGTAGTACCGCTCTCACAACCCTGTCGGGAACACATTGTGAGCCCAGGTTACGAATCGGTGGGCTAAATAATATTGTTCTCGTACTAGTATTACAGTTCTACAAGCATAAACTATAAAACATCCAAAGAAGCAGGAGGTTCAACACGAATTGCTTCAGTTAGTCAACAAGACCATCTAATGAAATACTCATTTATTTCATAACTGGACAGCTAGTAAGAGTTCAAGTCTTGAAAGCAAAATCATTCTGAATGTCCAGCAGGACTGGATCTTTATACAGCCCATGGATGCTGTCATGGTGCTTTTTCTCTTTTTACAAAAAAAGTCAGAATATTAAATTATTTTATAAACCATGTTCATCAAACCCCTAGTAAGGTGCTTGTTTCTTCTTTTAAGTAAACACTCATATAAACATATTGAGATAACAATATTGCACTGAATCTCTTTGAGAGCGTTTCCTCCCTGTTTGATTATTTGAATCTTATGACGATAAAACCCACAATCCCTGAACTAAACGTTCCTCAACATTCTTGACTTGGTAAAACCAGCACGATCAGTCAAAGTAGTCCTCGATGTCAATATTTGGGTTCAGAAGCTCTTCGCCATATGAGGACAGGTCCATCTGGTTAAGGATAAGGTTTTCAAACGTCTCCTCCAAGTCCGTCTCTCCAATGAGGATGGCCCCCATCATGCGGCCGCCACTCAGCACAACCTTCACATACTCTTCACCTTTCGTGCAGCGCACCAGCAGCTCATGATCCGAGCCTAAGCCCTGTGCATTAAACTTTCCCAACAGCACCACCTGGAGGACAAATGCAGGGAGAACATCCACACAAATCACCGTTACGCTGTGTTTACAATACAATGGAGTGAAGACATTTTTTTATTTCACCTACAATTGATTTGTGGAAGTTGCAACTTTAATAACTTTATGCAATTTAGAAGCAATTTCGCTTGGCTCCATCCAGTCAGATTGAAGCGTGAAAGGTGGCACTGTGCATTTTGTTATATCCACAGTCAAGCAATTAAATTTGCTGTAATGCAGTACAGCATTAGGGATGTCCTTATTATGTTTTTTTCTTTGCTGATGAGTAATTTAATTTTGAACATTTGCCAAAATGGAGTCCTAATCTAATATTTGTTTTTTAGAAGATAACATGCCACACAGCACAAGATAGCTAAGTTGGATTGGTTTTACTATTTAGCTTTAAACAGCCAAATAAAGCATTAGCTTTAAATTGCTACAGTCAATTCTAGTTTTGGTATGCAGTGTGACCTCTACTGTGATAAGCGGGGATGCACGATATGTTGGTGGCCAATATATTATTTGTAAGTGGGAAAAACGCAATTATTATTCTTGTTATCGACCCGATATTGAAATTACAGCTAGTAATTACAGCTGATAACTTGCCATACTATTTTTTGCTGCCGCACGCATGTGTAGAGGCATGTGTAGTCACTCATAGTGTGAATTTACCCTGCCTTCTGCTGGCCTCTCAGTTTCGCCGTCACAGCCGCCAACTGATAAAATTTAATTCTGACAGAAAATGGTGATCATAGCAACTTCTGTCGCAAACTATATTTTAGTTCAGTGGATATTTTTAAATCAAAATTATTTCTATTTTGCTGTATAAGAAATAGTGTTACTTTCATTATTATACGAAGAATCCTCAAAAAAGGCAGACACATAGTTTGAGACTGTTCGGATTTAACATTTAAAAGTAGCCTATTCCAGATACGGAGTCCATAGCAAACTTGCATTCATTGTGAGTGAGATAGTTGCAACCACAAATCTTGTTCAGGACTATTCCACAGTTTGGTACAAAGTTAATTTGTATAGATTTACAGAGATGACATTTCATATTCTACACGAATCAGCTAAACCTATTGGCTTGTTATCTCTGTTCAGGTTGGTCTCAGATATGCTGTGGCGAACCGAGTGACGGAGGGCGCTCTCAACTTCACTTTGAATGTTAAAACTAGAGCCAAACAAATTAACATGCAGAGGACTGTTTTTCTTTGTGTAAATGTTTTTATATTTTTTATGTTTTATAAATATACACACAGACACAGGAAAGTCCTTAAGTCTGAGAGCACTTTGAAAATATACAATTATTTTCATTTAACCTGCAAATACAAAAAAAGCTTTACTGAAATATTTAGAACAAAGAACAGTTATAACAAGTAAAAGGAAGAAGAAATTAAGGAGTCTGCACTATTTCTAGGTCACTAGTCAAATTTTAGCAAATTTGTGAACTGGCCCTGTTCAGGCCTTTGTACAAAAAGGTCAGTTGTTTTTTTAGGGTTTTAGGGTTTTTATTTTTTGAGTCTTATTCCTTCATCCCATCGAAGCTCGTGTTCAGATGACCCTCAGCTGCTGAGGCTGTTGAGAGGTCAGTGTTAGTGATCAGAGTCTGTGCCTGCCTGAGAGCATGTTGTCTGTAAAGCAAGAAATTCTGGAATTTATATAAGTAATTCAAAGTGTCTACTTTTCACTTGGGTTGTGGGATGATATTATAATTCGTAATAGCAGAAACATTCAGTTAGAAAAAAGGCAAAATATAAAAAAAGCATTTTCACTAGTGGTCTCAGACTTTTGGAACCCACCAATGGTAGATAATAATGATCCTAAACATTAGCTGTTGTAGTGAGTTAATTATATATTCTTTATTTTTAGCAATCGTTTTATACTCGCATACTGTTGTGAATGGGTTTAGATAAGAGTGTCTGCCAAATAATGTAAAACATCCTTATAAAGTAACGTAAAACATTAAAATAATTTAATTATTTATATTGTCAGTTATCTGCGACGGTAAGGTGCTAATTTTCAGTTATCGTTTCGGGTCCATAAATTCCATATTGGTTCATCACCTACTAATAAGCTTTGTTTCGCACTTTTTTTTATTATTTATGGTGTCTTGACTGTGCTTACCGCAAAGTTTATAAAAGCAGTGCACTTACGTTTTACTTATGACTAATTTAACTGTTTTTTGACAAAAGGTGACTAGCTTAGCGATCGAAACTGCTATAATATGCCTCGATTGGCTCCAATAACAAATTTTCTGATCAGACTGGGACATCACTGAGAATTATGCAAAGTTTCAAAACAAAGAGGAAAGAGAAAACAGAATCTGTGAGAAGGGGAGGAAAAATGAAGCGTGACAAAGGAACTGACCTTATAATTGAAGAACTTGGTGATATGAGAGAAGAGCTCGAAGCAGAAGTCCAGCTCGATAGATTCTCCCAACACATCGGCCGCTATGCAGCGTGCAGCGTACCAGCCCATCTGCCTTGCCTGCGTCCACAAACGCATCTACCACAAGAGGGAGCCACAGTCATCACTCAACACTTACTACATCACTACATCATTTCCTACAGATCACAAATACTCTTGTGATTTTCTTGTGTCCATAATAACTGGCTGGGATTTGGACATGGCAAAAATGATCTGCATTCTCTAACGAAGCCCTTATGACGCCTTGCATATTAAAAGAGAAAGGTTCCTGTGTTTTTTGTTAATAGATTCAATGCATAGAGTATATGAGTGATGAACATCTGACTGATTAGTCTGTTAAGTAATTGTACCTGCTGCCAGAGGGCACTGGGCTCCCAGCCTGCAGTGCACACGTCTCCAGCTGCATACACATCTGGTTCAGATGTCTGCATGTGCTCGTTGACCTTCAGCCCTCGGTCCTCTGCCAGTTCAAACTAGTTGTATGAAGTACACAAAACAATGACTAAATGTGATGTGCACAATAAAAATGGGAGTTTTCTTACACAAATGTCTTCTAAGGCAGGTAAAGAAGGTGATCATATCACCTTGAGCCAGCCAGTGAACCTGGAGAGGAGGCAGGACAATTCGGCCTTTGAAAGATTAGATATCGCACTATATTTCACCCGATTTATATAACTGAGTAAATTATATGTACTCACACATATGACAGCTCACCTTACTGAGCTGATGGTACCTCAGCAGTTCGCTCACTTCACCAAACTAACACAATTTTTTCTCCTTTTTCATAAAACCAAATTGACTTGCCTGCTCTGCGTTTTCACTGGCTGACTCAACTCAAGCAAATCATTCTGTACCACCATTACTGCCCTCAGAACTAGTTTCGTATAAATAAAACTCCCACCTGGATGCACAATAAAATAACAGGGAACCCTCAGAGCCTACTAGACCTACAGAGACATGTTATTTAATAAAATCATAATGCTTGTTTTTCAAACTCCACAAACAAAAATCCAGATTTGCCCCCTGTAGTATCTAAGTAGATAGAACCAAGCAAGCTCTGCCATTCGTTAGACCTTCGGGAGCTTCTCAGAAGGCCTAGCGCATTACATAAACCTACTACATAATCAGGAAGGGACAGCAGAATCCACTAATCATGTTTTGATATAGCAATAAAGAAGGTTCTTCTACCACTCCAATGTCTACCTTGTAACAACAGAACAACACATTTTGGTGCCATAAACACATAAAAAGATGGTTCCTCAAGGGTTCTTTAGTAAATAAAATGGTTCTATATAGAACCATAAACACTCAAGGAACCCTTTGCATGATTAAAGAGTTATTTGTATCATGAAAGCGTTCTTCAGGTTGTTGGAGAATGTGTTGTATATGGTTCTATATAGCACCAAAAAGGGTTCTATTGTCACAAGCTTAACATCCCAACAATAGAAGAACCCTTTTCAAAAAGGTTCTGTATAGAACCATATACAACACTTTCTCCATCAATCTGAGGAACCGTTTCTTGATGCAAAAAACCCTTTAATCAGTTCATGGTTATATATAGAACCATTTTCTTTTCTGAAGAACCCTCTTTTTAAAAGTATATAGACCCCTTTTCAAAAAGGTTCTATACGGAATCATATAAAACACATTGTCCATCAATCTGAAGAACCATTTCAAGATGCGAAGAACCGTTTAAGCATGCAAATTTTTCTTTAAGTGTTCTGACAGTGAACCACTGTCTTTACTAAAGAACCCTTGAAGAACCCTCTTTTTTAAGAGTGAATGTCATGGTAATACACATTACATATTACATCTGTCTTTGTTTTCACGTTTGAGAATCACTTATGACAGTATTATCTAATCCAAGTCATTTGTCACAGCTGTAGATGTATCAATTCATAGTCATTTGCAAACGTTTAAACATTCCTGGTCAAATGACTTGTTTTGCTGATTTTCAACAAAGTAAAAATAACATAACAAATCCTCTACAGAGATCACACTACATATGACATTGTGGTGCAAACTGTAGTGCACAATTTTTGTTAGTATAATTTGGGCGGAAAAAAAACAAAATGCCGTAACTTCTGCACAGGCTACATTTTATGCTTTATTTTTCCTCCTAGTATGTTAAATTCAGCACAAACAGTAATTTTGCATTAAAATGTGCAGAAGTGTGTTCTCTGTAGAGGATGTATTAACTTATTTTCACTTATAATAACAACAAAGCACATCATTTGACCAGGGGCACATTACTGTATCTAAAAACTGATTTATGTTATGGTTAAGTGGAAATAAAAATCTCAACCAGAGAATGACAGAGTGACTCTACTGAGCAGGTTGTTTTAACCCTTACATTGTTGCCATGGAGAAAAGGTTCAGTGTTTGGCACCACACCTGTAGCACTGACTATGAAGTCACAGCCAAACGTCTTCCCATTGGTTAAATGGGCATAAACTGGCCACAGCCCTGAGGAAAAGAACAGTAACACTGTTTCAGTAGAAGAACAAATGAATCTAGTCTAAACAAGTCCCTGCTGTGAGATGTGTGCCGTTTCATGTTTGTTCATTAGGGCTTCCTCGTGACTGTACTATTTAATTCTCTGTAGTTCAGCTGAAACAGTTTAATTGTAAATAATAAAAGCACTTTCACTGTGACATTAATTATATATAAATGTTGCCAGATCAACACACATCCGGTAGATTTAACCCATTTTAGACAAATGTCCCTGTGAATTTATGCTATTAATGCACTAGCAGTGGCCTACTTATACAGCTTCAATCTTTATTTTGCCTAAATCTATAAAATTCCTTTGAACAATTGCAGTATTTCAGGTGTGAATCTTTAAAAACCTATAAAACCTTTTACTAGACTTTTTATAAAAGAGCAGACAGAACAAACTGTCCCAGTGCTTCTCACCATTTCAGCAGCAACTGATGTGCTACTGCAGCTGCTTCAGGTAATAACATGTGACTTAGTGCGCACAGTCTGCAGATCCTCACGCCTACATGCCTATTGTGTCATTTGGATAAATATGGCAACACTTTATCAAAGCTTTTTGCTGACCTAAATCCGTTTCCTGTGTATGGAGTGGCGATTTCATAAAGTCTTGCTGTGAGTACATCGTTTTAATCTCACACTCATATTCTACATGGACTCTGTGGGACACCTGCAAAGGAAAGAAAGACATAAAAAATGTCAAGAATGAAATTTATGATTCTTACGATGTAATTAATGATGGACATTCACAAGCAAATACACCTCCTCTGTTCCTCTTAGGCTGATGCCCTCATGCCAGTCTGGACCTAAGGCACTACCAAGCTCTCCTGATCCTGGTAGGAAACATCACACATGAACATGATATATTACTGTAAATGCAGTATTTTCAATACATGCTATAGAAGTTATAGAAATGAGTAAGGCCGAAGTGGCATCTCTGGATTTTATGCCTGCTTGGACTTCTGGCATGGTCAAGATTTAAACTAATAACCAACACCCCAAGAATAGGCAGAAAAAACACCAACAATCATACTGTTCTATAGCCCACCAATGGTGAAAAATGTATCTCTTTAGTATTTTTTCAAAAAGTGCAAGGTTATAAGCTGATGTAACGTCACATTTTGATTTATATTTTTATTTTTCATAATTAAAATTTTATTTCATAAATAAAATGCCAGCTGCTCTTTACATTATGTGGACATTTCATGATAAACGGACTAATAGACACGGTGCTAAATTACCTGGAATAAAATCACATTATGTTAACTTGACTATGTTAAGTTTTTCCTTCTCATACAAAGTTATCATTTTGAATATAAGCAAATGTTATGACAGTGACGATACCCTTTCATGGTTTCAATGTTGAAGCTCATATCCATAAAACGGCCCACTGTACTTAAAGTTGCACTATGTAAGATTCGGGGATTTGCATGTGATGTAATTGCAGACAATGTGCACAACATTTTGTAACTTCAGCTGTGTTTCCCTGAGTGGATAAATCTAATGACTGGGAGTGGTTTAAAAGACAATTAAAAGAGAACTCAGTCAAAACTTGGTGAAGGACTTGTCTTCCAAAGATGGAAGTGTATTATCTACTATTGTTATCTTCATCAGTATAAAGCTGTTTTGCATTTGAGACCCACACATCACGCCGGACCATCTTTGTCAGCCTGTGCATGTGACATTTACATAAAGCCGTATTATCTGATCTGATCCCTCTGACTTTTAAAGTACTATGTCAGGCTTTACAGGGTGACTCACAGCTGCACACGGACACCATATTTTAGCGTGTTGTTTTTCCTCCTGACTCAGTAATGCTACTTCTTTCAATTTTAACAACCAAAAAATCTTACATAGTGCTGCTTTAAGCCAAAACAAACAAATAAAAAGACAACAAAAGTTCATACATCAGCACTGAACTAGACCTTTATTTACCATCTTTAGAGGTTGTGGCTTTATCAGCGGTGTAGCGTGTTCTCTTGCAGGGCAGTGCTTTTTCTGGCTTGTCTGCCTCCAGTGAGGGGATGAGAAACTGAGCAGCTCCTGCATCAAAGAATGTATTCCCTATGGCCTTGTCCTTTATAGCCCAGATCACTTCACAGCCCTCCACTTCATACCTACAAACAAGGAAACACAGTACAAGGAAAAGTGGATACAAGTGCAATCACAAATCCAGCCACAAGGGGGCATCTGATCATGTAAGACTGCTGGGCTTATTCCATTGATATGTATATCTGTGAATCACACTGATTTCAATGCAGATTTCTTCTAAAAACTACATTTATTAGACATTTTAACGCTGCATTCTTTCACCACACAAAAGCAGTAATGAGCTCATACCAAATAAATTCCTAATACATTTTTTAAAAGAATATGCAAATACCGCATAATGAAACAGTATGGGTGTAAAAATGCATTGGTGCATCGATCTGAAGGTGGAAATTCTGCTTTGATTTCAGAATATCATTAACAATTGATTACAATAATATTACACTAATAATACACTGTGCGCTCTTTCTGACCAAGATAAAATTCTAGTCATTTTCAAATATAAAGAAAAAATAAAAAAAGTATAATTTATATTCCACTACGCTGTCATATTGCTGTGCAGTGCTGTGTAAAAGTCAGGGACCAACCTTTCGTTTATTACCAGTCAAAATGGCCAGTAGGTACAAGTTATTTTTCTGTGCTAGAACAAAGAAGGAAACATATAATTAAAAGAAAACTACCCAAAAGCCTCCAACAGTAAATAAAATACCAAATTTATCAGTATTTAATTTGTCTTTATGTAAACATCACACAAACAGGCTCAAAAAAAAGAAGGTCTGGCAAGACATTTAGGTCTCAAATCCAAAATCAGCTTTATACTGATGAAGATATGATGAGAATAGCGATGGAGATATGATGAGAATAGCAGACAATACACCTCCATCCTCAGAAGACACGTTCTTCACCAAGTTTTGATGGAGTTCTCTCTTTTAACACTCTTTACTTTGGTGCAGCTACTGCCATTTTAACTCTTCATTCCTTCCCATCTTAAAATCAGGTACAGCTGCCCCCTCCCAACAAAAGCTGTTCCCAAAGCTCTCACTGACATCATGTTCCTCTTAAAACAGACACTAACATTCACATAAGCAACTACCCAAACACACCTTAGCTGCCTTACAAATTCTGCTTACATGCACCTAAAATGGTTTAAGGAGATGATGAGTCTTATAAGAAGCAGAAAATGCAACCTTCTAAGACTGAACCGTAGGTGTGGAAGAATATCCCTATTTCTTTAAAAACTCATGACAAGAACGGAAGTTGTAATAAATGCAAAGGGTGGAAAGGTTTTGTATACATAGCTGTTAAGGCTTCTGTGTAACTTTCTTTTAAATACGTGTCTTCTGATTTTTTCTGACGCTAAAATGAGTAACTTATACTTAATGGCCGTTTTGACTAAAAATTAAATAAATAGAAGGATGTTCTCCAACTCTTTCACAATACTGTATTTACTGTATTTTGCATTAAATTGTTACCTGAAAAATCATAACCTGATCACAGTGACGTCAGAAGTTTCCCCGGTACGCAGCTGTATAATTGCTAGCAAGTTTTGTTTAACAAACAAATCAGACAGAATCATCATCATTGGACAATAAACTCACAGGAGTCGAAATTGTGTTGATTGTAATAACTGATACTCACACTAATTCCAAAGCAATGCCTCCATTTCCAACAACTACCATGCGCTTGGCTTTGGATAAATGCTTCTGAAATTCCTGTAAAAGAAAAGACTTCCATAAAACGCTCACAGAGTTTCTGTAATTATTTCTACTGAACTGTTAAAGTACTTATATCTACATGTTGATATAAGTTCCTGTTTCTGTACAAAAGACAGTGATTCACCTGGGCACTGTCCGTGTCTCGTATGCCCAGCACGTTTGGGTTATCCTGGATAAGGAGTTTAGGTCTGGCGCCGCTGCAGAGACACAGCTTCTCATAATGAAATACCTGCCCATTCTCAGTCTGCAACATCTGCATGTAAATACCAGGTCAGTAACATATTCTCCTCATCACCTTAGTGCTGTGGAGCACTCCAGATTTTGCTTTGACTCACATGTTGCTTTGCTTGGAGGGCTTTAACTGCTGACTGAATAACTTTCAGGTTTGGATACTTCTCCTCCAAAACACTGGCTGGCTGCTCTTCCACACTGAAGTCCTCTAAAGTCTTGGAAACCTACAGAAAAGATTATTATGTACACAACTCAGCAGCACAGTCAGATGGTATTGTTCAGCTTCGTAGGCCCTTTTTACAGTAACACTTTTTCCCCTTCTTTTTTATGAGTTTATTCACACATACAAATGTTTTCTTTTATGAAACACATGCTTCTAAAGTATGATTTGTGCATATAATGATACGTTTCTAATGGCAATTTTGCTTTAATACACTGCTAATGCAAACTTCTCCAACTTCTGCTATTATTTCTGTCTTATTTTAAGACCATCTTATTAAAACAAACCCACAGAAGGTACGGCCTGGGACTATTTTACTGCTTTGCACTTGTTTGAATATTGTGAGTACTGATGCATTTCATCATTTTCCTCTCTCTCATGTGGAAAGGCATAGTAAACTGAAGCTAGTATGGCTAGATTAGTAGCTATTAAGCTATTGAGTAAATAAAGATTTTATGCAAAAAATAAAAAAAGAAACATTCACATTAGAATATTCAGTCATTACTCTCAAAATTACCCAAAGATATGATGTTGGACCTTTGATGCTGTGCAAGATTTTGAACCTGAAACTGGATGCAGTTTTACGCCCTAAGGAAGGCTACAGGTGGTAATATTTCCTCTATGTCTTATGCATTTAACAAAAAACATCAACATCCTTTTTAAACACACTGACAACTGGAAAATAAACCTTTTTTTAAAATATACACTGGACTACTCCTTTAAACCAAAGCCTCCAGTGCATAACAAGGTCAGAGAGTCTGCCTTTATTCACCAACCTGTCTGAAATTTGTCACAGTCTTCACCAGTGGAGCAGCTGTCAGCAGAGCAATGTCCTCAGAAGGGAACTGCAATGCAAGCTGGTCAGGAATAGAGAACAAGACCCCAGCGTGATGAGAAAAAACAGCATAAATATACAGCACAAACCATAAAACAGTGTTCTCCTCATGCAGTCCTGAAGCCCACAGTAGAGGGTTTTGTGTTTTCACAACACCTGACACACTACTAGCTAATGATGTACTAATAATGTTTTATCCCACACATTCACTCAACCTGTGACCTGAACACATTCACCCCTATGAAATAACTCAAAAACTCCACAAGTCACATGTTCAACAAGAATTCACATCATTATCTACATTTCTGAAAGATCACAGGAAGAAAAAACTACTCTATTTTCATCAGTGTGGATGCTAGTGTACCACATTTTGTGCATTTGCTACTTCTTTGCTAAAAACTCTGCAAAGAAAACTTCCTGATATGGTTTAACACATTTGAATGGTATATGCTTGTTTTCATAGATCAAAACCTTTAATTTTTTAAGAGTTACAAGGACTAAAGCTCCTCCCTATCAGAGTCCCAAGTGGAGTGCTGTGCAGATGGGCTACAGTACAGTGTACTAGGGCTGTTCAATTCCAGACATTTTTGTGGTCCAAGCATCGATTCCACACAATAATCGATGGTAGGAGAGCTAACGCTAGTTAAATTAACTTACCTGACTAACAGGGAATAAACTCTACCTCATTCTCCTGACAGCTGGAACAAGTGGACAAATGTTTAGACACTGGCAATAATGTTTAATTACAATGTTTTGTTAAAAAATTTACACTTTACTTTGTTTTCCACTTTACAGTAAAATTAAGCTGAAGTATGAATTTATACACCAATCAGCCATAACAATAAAACAACCTCATTGTTTCTACACTTATCGGCTCCATTTACTACATAAGTGCACTTTGTAGTTCTACAATTACAGACTGTAGTCCATCTGTTTCTCTGGATACTTTGTTGGCCCCCTTTTAACCTGTTCTTCTATGGTCAGGACCCCCATAGGACCCTGAGGTGTTTAAAAAGTCCAGCAGAGAAACAGATGGACTACAGTCTGTAACTGTAGAACTACAAAGTGCACCTATATAGTAAGTGGAGCTGATAAAATGGACAATGAGTGTAGAAACAAGGAGGTGGTTTTAATGTTATGGCTGATCAGTGTATATTGTTGAAGGATGTTTTCGTCAGACAGGCTGTGCAGTCAGTGACTCAGACTCCGTGGCAAATTTGAACGTCTCTGTGTGGAATCGAGTTCAAAGCTTTGGAGTCGACTCTGAATTCCTTAATGTCTGGAATCGATTCTTTTCGGGATCGACTCGCAGCCCTACTGTGTAACGTTACTACAGAGACAGGTGTGAATCGCCTCTGAAACCCAAACCAGGCGGCGGAGCTTACCTGCTCTGCACAGGTCACTCCAGCGATGCCTCCACCTACGACCACGAACCTGAAGCGTTTCTCTGACTCTGAGGTCCCTGCCATGACACTATACTCACACTCAACTCCAGACACACTCAGCACTTCAGTTTCTCTCAAAGACCGTTTAATGACCTTCTTGTTCAGTTGGAGGTTTTACTCTCCGTTGTGAACGACCTCGTTCTGCCGAATCCTGTCAGTTTCTCCGCTTTTGGAGAAATAAAAACCGCACTCCTCACCGCTCAGCTACAAAAGCCTCCATACTGTTTGATGACAGCAGACTACGGCGTCCGACAAGGCTCATTTCGCGAAACGTCAATTCTTCCAAGCGCATGGGTCTCAAATAGACCACTTGTTTGCCATAGAACAGATCAGTGTCTACTAATTCTTTATTTTCTACTCACTCTTTGCACAGTAACGTGTCTAAAGTATCTAAGTGTCATTTTCTAAAGTATCTAAGTATCTTTAAGTATCCAGTAAATAAATGGAATCCCAACAGTGGCATGCAGTTTCACTAAATATCAATCTGAATGTTTATGGAATATGTGCATTTTTATTTGTGGCTTTGTTATATTTACTACTACTAAGATTTTTATTCTGAAAGTACATTTGACCTTTTACAGACCTTTATTGAACTTTTGACTTTGACATACAGTTACATAAAATGCATCATAAACATCACATCAATATTTCCAAAGTTTCTCTCAATACATCACAATTCCAATATTAAAAGTCATTCAGGAAAAGCTTTACACATCAGCATTTACATATAGCTTAACAATTTATATACAACTTATTTTTACAGGCAAGTCAAAGGATGCCATGGCAATGTAATCACTCATTTTGTCATTTTGGGAGGGCCAGTGACAAATGTGGGTGGGCCTAGGCTGGCTGGGCCCAAACATAGCACCACTGACTCTGAGACTGAATACACAGGATAGAGACTTGTGTGGTGGAATCTAATAAGGATTTTTTGTTTGTTTGTTTTAATAAAATCAGAGACTCTGTGTGCATTTGTCAGTCTATGTGTGTGTGTGTGTGTGTGTGTGTGTGTGTGTGTGTGTGTGTGTGTGTAAAACTAACATGATACTTCAAACGATTTGCTGCCTACGAATCGTGATGCTTTCAGTCACACTTAAACTGCAGTTTTGCATGGAGAGTCAGTTTGGATTGGATGAACTGAAATGATATATTCCAGTCAACACCCACTGCACTATGTTAAGTGTTCTCCTTAATTAATGGCATTAAATGGAGGGTCGCCATGTGGCCCAGGCCGACTTCCTCTCTACATCCGATCTGAGAGGAAAAATAGAACCGATGCCACTTTGAGCCGGGCATGTTAATTTTCCCGGAACAGCGTCCACGACCTTTAACCCAGTCAGTGCTGAGTGTGTAGATGCTCACGTCACTGCAACACATCACATCCACTAAATTATCCATGACCACATGTGATCCTATTATTCACAAATATATTAACAGCAGCGATGCTCTGCTGTTCGATACAGTTGGATTAGAAGAGAAGTGGGGTGACCCCGGGGTAAAAAACACTTTGCCTCTGTCATCATAATTATGATGTTTATCCCAGATGGGAATGGAGTGAGTCAGAACGAGGTTTCTGCTTATTAGAAAATACAGCTTGTTCCCTTGATGATGAATACATTTTTCAAAACAAAGAAAGGCTTTTACTGCTGGTAGACTAAAGCAGTACTATTCAGGACACTGAAAGAAATACTACTACTAATAATAATATCAATAGATCATGGATCTTGACAGACGAGCAGTTGACAAAGAAGCAGGTGCTTGATCATTACAGTCCAGCACCGGACACTCAACACGAGTGACTGCCTTCTGAAGCAGCCAGTCGGTGTGCAACAAGGCAGAAGAACATTAAACACACAATCCCTGGCTGCACAGCACTTACACCATCTGAGTACACCAACCATGTTCAAGCATCTATAAAGTGCCTGACAGGTAGGGTACATTTGGGGAATCAGCCTACCAGGATGAGATGTCCACACCCCCCCAAAATGTTCTCTCCTAACCAAACGATGGGGCAAAATCTGATCTTAACACATTTACTGAATGGATCTGGTCTAACTCATCTGAAATTTCGTCTGGATCATTGCATTCGTGCAATATTCCCCCTAGAAACGTTTTAGGGTCAGTAGATCTGAATTTGTGTCATTGGATAATATGATCCATGTATTAACATTTGTAAAGTAGAGGAAGATGCAGAGGCAGGATGCCACTGTAAGTCCTTGTTTTTATTGAAAGTATTGGTTTTTTTGAATCCACAAAGTAAAAAAACAGCAAGAATACTCACAAAATATTGCAACTGAAAGAAAACAAGACTAAAGATCATGAAGAGGACTAGAACACAAACGAGAGAAAACAAGAACAGGGCCTGAGAACACAAAACACCAAGCAATCGCAAAGCACACAACCAGGGGCGTAAATACAAACGGAACAAACCTGAAACACCTGGGACTGATACAAAGGTGGGGCTACAGACTATAGACAGGTGTGACAGATGACAAGAAGTCCGGAACAGGGACGAGACAAAGACCAGAACAACAACAAATGCACATGGCCTATGTAAACAAAAACACATGGAACAAAGACTTAAACAGAAAGACAAGTGCAGTGCAAGACAGAATGTTACGATATTAAGTTCAGGTTTAAAAATATATGAATATGGGGTTGGGGTCATACAGTGCATTTGGTTTTGAGAGTTTATTTCATTGGCATGATTTCTGAATATTATTTAGATTTTCATCATAAAGTTGGAGTTTTACTGTCTAACTAGACTAGCTTTAGCATTACGTGCTAGCTGTAGTGAACATTAGCTAGAATTAGGCGATATTTTTATCCATCTTCCTGGAGGTGAGTTTGCACATGGGTTTTGCTGCTGGCAGAATTACTTCTACATCTAATAATCATCTGCACTTGATTAAGTGTTTAATACTATTGCTTTGTTTTAATTGTTATTGTTACTATTATTATTATTATAGCATTAATATAATCACAATAATCTTACAACAAACAAATATGACGTTTCACACATTTCTATTTTACTGTCATTTGTCTTTTGTTGTGGCTTATTAAAGTGAAGTAGATTATAGATATACATAGATAAAAGCCTACATTTTTTTCAGTTGTATTTTGATTAAAAGCACATTTTCTTGGAAAATGCAAGGACCAGAAATGATTAAATATATAAATTATACATTCTGATAACAAACTAAAAAAAGATTTATATGGAGGGGCTTCTGACCCCAGGTAGGCAGGCATGATGCCCCTTTTATTTTTTGTACTATAAAAACAAAACTGTCTGCTGTTTCAGTTTTATTTCCCCTAATGCATATGCATCATCATCCTGTACATGCTAAAATCACACATAGATATGATTTAACTTTACAGTAAAAGGGCATTATTCTTTATGCGGGGCATTTTCCCTCATTTTCCCCTACTGTGAGCACATCCCAGTGGTCAGTGCTGAGCAAAAGCATATGGTCTCTGTTGTGACAAAACTTCTCCAAAATGGTAACTTTTACAAGAGAAGTAAAAAGACCTTCTTACCATCAAATTGAAGTCACTGGAACATGTTTTTCCCCATGTAATTTTAAACAATTTCTATTGGCCCGTTCATCATGAGATTGTGAATGTTGTAAAGGGCAGATGGCTTTCATAGAAAAAATGGCAAAAATGGAAATACATGCTTTCGTTTAATGACAATATGTACTTTCACATGTGCTTTCTTCTATGCTCCAAATAATCACATAATAACATATTGATTTTTATTTTTCTACACTACTTGAACGTGGCAGCCATTCTTTACATTGTATAAAACTTTTATGATGAATGGAAACTGGAATAAAACATTTTTTTTTAAAATAAACTAACTTTTCTTGTGTTATGTCAGCTGCCCTGTGATAATCTGGCGACACCTGTCCAGGGTGTTTCATGCCTTCCGCTGATTGACCGCTGGGATAGCCTCCAGCTCCCCCCCGTGTCCCAGAAGGATAAGCGGTTTAGTAAATATGTGTGTGTGTGTGTGTGTGTGTGTGTGTGTGTGTTAAGTCAGCTGTATTGTTTTATTGTTCCTGAGGTAATAAAATTGCCACCTTCATCACCTCATTCACCATTAACTCCCACTTCACCTTCCTCTTTCACCTTCGCTTCCTCTCGCTCCCTCCCTCCTCTGACCTCTAGTTTCTCTACTTACACTGTGTCAGACTTTGCATTCATTAGACTGGTAACTATCTAATGACCAAGCTGTGCCTCTGCAAGCATGTGAATAAAACTAGTAATCTGAAATTTCCTGGACTTTTCCTGATGAATTTCTAAAACCACCAGTTACATAATCATTCTGTGAGCCACACCCATAGTGACAATATTGGTAAAGTAATGAATGCTGCACAAGAAAGAAAAGACATGCCTGACGATTGATATAGCTGTACTAGATGAATAGACTTCTTACTGACAGGGATGAAAATCGGCAGAATGTGGAATGACAAAACAAGAATAGTGCCAGTCATAGTGGGAACATTAGGAATACTCAAAAATGCATTTAATGTCTGCCTTCAGAGGCTCCCAGACCTTTTATCAACAAAGCATAGAAGATCACTTTTTCAGGCACTGCTCACATCCTAAGGAAGATGTGTGGTGAATCACTCTGATGTCTTGTTGAGATCTGGAATCACTAGATACCACCTCAAAAATGAGGAGAAAGAATAATGGGAATAATGACAAAAATACTATAATAATAATAATAATAATAATAATGATATGATAATATTAATCTTTATCCATTTTATGTGCAAAATCTCAAAGTGATTTATATGCACAGATAGGTAAAACATTAAAAACACACAGAGGCCATCATTAACTGAATTTCCAGTCAAGGCAGACATTAAATGCAAGTTATTCCTTATTCAGCATCAGAATAAAAAATGCAGAAAACACATATTTAACAGAAAATATTTAAACAGAAATATATTTAAACATAAAATATATTTAAACAGAAAAAGCAGTGCTCTTTGGATTGCCTTTCACACGTCCATCTTGTGTTTGACATTTGGAAGTTTGCTGTGCCGTGTGTGGAAAGCCACAGAGAAAACGTGTGAAATTTTATTGGAGAAACTTTCATCAGTTTCCTCCTCAGCCTGGCCTCCTCGCTGCTGATGTGTCAGTGGTTATATGACAGGCCGTGCCCCGTGTGGCCCTGCCCCAGCAGGCTGATTGATTCATTTGTATTGCAGCCGGTCCTGGACATTTCTGTGTGTGCTCTATTTCTGGCTCTCGTAGATGTTCATTACACCTTTATGACTTTGGGCAGAAAGGGTACAGCTACTCTGGGCAGCAGCCCCATCCATGGCCAGAGAGCACGCCAAGGCGGTGGGCTCTAATGGACAGAAAATGCTGATATGATGGATGTGCTTTGAATGTGAGAAGACAGCAAATGCTATCGGCAACAAAGAACCGATGCATGTGGGAGGACAGATGGTTAAGGTTATAAATGGGAACTTGCATTAAGTCACACATTCTCATAGACACACATATTTTGGTTCATTCTGGAAACACATGGACTGTCAATGACTATAAAAGGCTGCATTGTCCTCCCAACCTCCAACAGCACAAACACCACCAATAGATAATCTTCATTACATACTCTGCTCAATCTATAATTGATCTATCCAAGCCTATTAATGGGCCCAGAAATGCATTATTTCATAGCAAGGTTGGACAAGTCTAATGAGAAACTGTATAGACTTGCTGCAAAACATTTCCCATTTAAAATGCTTAACTGTTGAGCTGGACTGTGTTGTTAAAGCTAATCAAAACTTGGCAGATTAGAAATGAATATGAATTGATTTTGCCACCTTGCTAACATCAATTGGGCTACATTGCCATGCAGTATTATAGTGCAATATAATTTAGGTATTTTGCCAAAAAAGTGAGTTGTAGGCTATATTTTCTTGTTAGGTTGAATGGGATTTTTGTCAATATTTGTCTGTAAAGCTTGTTTGTCAGCGTTCTGCAAACTTATCCAAACTAAGTACTTTGTAGCCACTGTTTTATACAGAACACTGATAACAATTTCATTCATTCTTATACATTTAGATTGGAGTTCAAATTCTTTACATAACAAGTTTCCACTTTAAAAGTCTATGCTACTAAGCTGGACTGTGATGTTCTAGCTCATCAAAACCACTAAAATAACACTCACTTGAGCAGACATACAACAGCAGTGTGACCCTTCACATATGTAAAAATAAATTTAAGTCAAGTCAAAGTCTACTTATGTAACGCTTTTTAATCAGGCATTGTCACAAAGCAGCTTTATGGAAAAATCCAGGTCCAAGCCCCGGTGAGCAAGCCAATGGTGACAGTGGCAAGGAAAAACTCCCTAAGAGCAAAAGGAAGAAACTTTGAAAGGAACCAAGACTCAAAAGGGGAACCCATCCTCCTCTGGTCGACACCGGATAGCAGACAATATCAGCAGAGAATAAGGTTTGATCATCAGTATAAGATACAGAAAAGGGGAAAAGGAGGAGAAGCAATGTCTATGATTAAAACATCAGGAGGGTCAGTTCATGCAACGGGAAGCTCCATGGTGGTCAAAACGATCCAGAAGGCTGGTGAGCAATGGGCACCCAGTCAAGGCCAATGAAGCAGCAGCATCACCTGCATAGGATGGGCAGTTGTTCAGCTCAGCAAAGGAACACACAGGCAGGTAGTTCTGTTAAAAGAAACTGATTACAGTATACAGTGTTAACAGAGTGCAGGTTGAGCTATTACAGCCTAGCTAAAAGGGAGAGCCAGCAAGTAACAGACATGAGGGCAATATGCAATATGCAGAATGACTGTGCAGCTTAGGCCATTCCCAGGTGATTGTTGGGGTGTTGTATATATAACTGGCTGCTGTGGTATCCCAGATGGTTGTTAGGGTGTTGCTAGGTGATTGCAGTTGTATATCAGTTGGTCACTTGTGGGTTGCTATAGGTGGTTTCTCATGGTGAAAGGCATTTTGCCAACATTCTGTAAAGCTTGTCTAACATCTTAAAAATCTGTGGGTGAAACAGTAGGACTCAATCAGGACTGCTTCTAGTGTCACCCCAGTTTTCATACCATATGAGTCCTCTTTTAAACCCTGTTGGAATTTTTTCACATTGCTGCATTGATCAAGTTCATTTTGCTATTGTTAGCCAGGATGTGGAACAAGCACTCTGTTTTCTCCAGTTTATGTACGCTTAGTGTATATTGGAAAAGCCCTTATGTGAGATGGAACCGATTTGGATCAGTGGATAAACGGGATCAGAGGTGGACAAGAGCTATTACAGAGAATGAAGCTCATTTATGACTAATGCTATTGAGGTGCAATAGCGGTATACAGAAATCGATGTCCATAAGCACTCCTGACAGTAAATGATGGTATGCATTAACGTCTCTTTGCATTGATCAAAACAGTGGCTTTGTACAGCCAACACACTATGGAAACCACGTTATTAAGATAATTGGTGATTCCCAGTGGAGGTCAGGTGAGTTTAAAACCAATCTCAAACAAAAGTATTTGTAACTCATTTTAATGATAAAGAGGAGGGGCTATATATCATAACTGACATGTTTCAGCATTGTTCATACACTGTCTGAAAAACGGTAGGAGATATCTATTAGTACACCTGAGCTCATAATAGAAACAGTTTAATTCGTGTCTCCTGCTTTGTACACAGGAGCATTAAGGACCAGCATGACTTTAATATGTTGGTGATTTCTGGCATTTATGCCTTTGGCATTAATGAGCTGGTTGATTTTTTTTGGCTGTCAACTTGCTGACAGTATCACATCTAATAGAGGTCTCTCTATGTTCAACATTTTCATGAGTGATGAGATACATACATTCAATTCTGAAAACTGTAGCTGGGTGCTGAGAGAGTGTTGGAGGCTCAAGTGGGAGCTACATTTAGCAAACATCTCACAGTTATGATTATTGGTTAAACCGGTATTTTGACTCATCAGAAACTGAATTTCGAAATGTCATCTACATAGTGAGTGTGATTTTATTTTTCCAATTTTCTGGTTATTTACTATTTATCATTATTATATATTATATTTAATATTGATCTAAGCAGCCATTTTAGGTGGACCAATGAAAAAAGTGGGTGGGCCTAAACCCACTGAGCCCAGTAATAATGCTGCCACAGGAACACACATGCAGCTTGCAAAACCTCCATAGAAAAGTGTTGCAAACAGAATGGGAACACTCTGGAGCAGCTGCACATGAGCCTAAGGTCAACATGCTCAATGACAAGCATTGGCTAGAGGGATATAAAACTCTCCAGCACTGGGCTGTGGAGCTGTGGAACTGCATTGTCTGGAGTGATGGAGCTCCATCCAATACCTTTGAGATGAGTTAGAGTGGCATTTGTGATCCAGAACTGATCATCCATCATCAGTACCTGACTTCACTCATGATCTTGCGGCCGAATGCAATCAAATCCTCACAGCAATGATCCGACATCTAGTGTAAAATTCCAGGGGGGCAATTCCATATTAAAGGGCCACTTCATGGAAAAACATGTCATTTTTCCATTTTTTTAGAAAAAGGAGCTTGAAGAAATATGTAAACATTGTTGTAAACAGTCCATACAGTCCATATATGGAAGCAATGCTGCAAAACAGCCTGTTTTGAATTAAAGTTTTTGTGTTGTCACAAGAACAACCACATTTACGTATATCCAGCTATTCAGCCTACAGCACTTTAAGCTCCACCCAGTCACACTGAAGTTATATGGAGTGTGAATGCTTTTTGAATAAGGCAATACACATGTCAGCCAATCAGAACAAAGCTCATTTACATATGTCAGTCTTATGATCATTTTTGGTTCCTAAAATGACACAAATGTTACAAATAGACCTGAAGGATAAAAATAAAATACAAGAAAAATAGTTGTTCATAAATACTTCCAGAAACTCATGCTTGATTCATGATTCAGGTTTATTTGTTCTGAAATATTCGTTTCCTTTCATTGCTTAGTTCATTTCATGTTGAGACACAATGTTTACAGCAAGGTGTGTTCAATAACATCCCACAAAGAACTGGACTTTCATTATATATTTTATTATAAAATCAAACGAAAACAACATCTTCCTTTTCTTTCCAATGACTTTTTTGTAAGAACACACTATTGGTCTCTCCACTGGGTTCATCTCCTTTGCAGTGCACACTGTACACAATGCTGTTGTGTGAATGTGTTTCATACCAAAAGACACCGACTCAAACTGTATAAAGGAAAAAAGAAACATTCTGATCATCACTGTTGTCAGGTATGTTACATGTGCTCTGTGTTGCTCTATATACATATGCATCAGAGAGGACAGCGTGGGTAGTGCGCACTAAAGGGGCATTAAGTTTGGAGATTGGAACACGTCTCTTTTTCCGTAGGCGCTGGAGCCCACGTTAGTGGGGATGTAGACGGTGCCGATAGTGTTACTGGAGCGGACGAGGAAGTCTGCCAGTCTCTGAGTCATACAAGTGGCTGTGTTGCACCTTCTCTTTTCTATGTGGTGCTGCTGGCTGGTGGAAGACAAAGAGGGCAAATTAGCATCTCTTCAGGTAACTCATCTAACGTACTGACTCAGATTGCTTTACAACACCCTGCATGTACCTCTCCACCAATGTATAAGGGAGATTATAGAGCCATTAAATCGCCACTGTGAACAATTCTGACACAGTAAGTTTCTCTAGAAAGGATCATTTCACATCAAACCACTCTGAATGACTTTGTTCACATCTTAACATTTCCATTACGAAAAAAAGTTGTCAAAAAATCACTTCACCTTTACCTTAAAACAATCAACTCCCCTTTAATATCAATGCGTCATTCACATTGATTATATTGGCTTCATTATAGTTACCACTGTAGTTAATGAATAACAAGTCTTAAGATTAGTAATAGAGTAATAATCTTAGGCTTTACTCCTAAGATTAGTGTTGTTTTTTTATTTCATTTGTCTTAACCTTGAGATGCCCAACTCTGATTATAAAATACAATTTCAGTCGGTTTTGGAGGACCATTAGTTCCAAGTATTAAGCAACATAAGCAATTTCAATAACTTTAATGGAATATATTTGGATGTAAATGCATACACTTTACAAAACTGGATTTTCATCTGAACAACCAAGTCATCATGTACTTAAAAAAATTCTAGAAGTTTTTTTCTGTGTGTGTGTGTGTGAGTGTGTTTGTGAGTGTGTTTTCATGCTATTTTTTATTGTGCACTGTTAATTATTGCCAGGATTTCAAAATGTGCAACACTACTTTTTCACAGTAAAAACTATTTATCATTTTTTTGTGAAATCAACTCACCCTAAATGCATATTTGAAATATATATTGCAAAACATGATGAATAAATATGTAAACTGTTTTTTTATTTTATTTTACTTTTGCTTTATTTGAATGAAAAAACTTTTATAGGTCTGGTAAAATTAAAAGCTTTTATATGGAAATTTACAGTACTAAGTTGGATTACTTTTAAAGTTGTTACATAAAGAATAGAAGTACAGAAGAATAAAGTTATATCACAGTAACCTTGCGGTCCAGGTGATGAAGTCACAGTGTTTATTTACTCTTAAAATTGCTCATTGCTGCAAAAATAATATGACTAGAAGACAGTAGTTTACTGTAATTTTACTGGGTTTTTTTTACTGTATGGCAAGATTTTCTGATATGAAGAAAGCTGCAGTTGTGCTGTCCATTTTATCTCAGCACAGCTGTTTTTATGGAGAGATGTGAATTATTTTTTAGAGAAGGGGTGTTTTCACCCCTCCCCTCTCACCCCTAATTGCTCACTAGCAGCTCAACACAGCTTTAACATTTCACACACAGAGAGCCAACAGTGTCATAACAGAGTTATGGGTAAAGCTATTTTTTTTAATAATGTTAATTAATACTATCTGAGTTGATTTCCATTTCACCAATGGAATGGCAACCAGGGGGCTTGCAGAAAGAGTGTATTGAATATTACCCCCAGAGAAACAGCATCATCACAGCATCAACACAGCATCACCTTCAAGACTTTCAGCAGACCAGCTTTAGACTCCCATGCTAAGCATTTAGCACAAGTACCTGTCGAGGGCTCTCTGCGGCCGCGACCCCAAAAATTCCAGGAAGGGGCTCGATGACAAACCTGGAGGCATCCAGCCCTCAGCCTCTTCCACCTGCTCAGCGGAGGAGATGGAGTACCTGCAGGAAAACAGTGGTCATGAGCTCAGAGAGCATCACTCATTCCACTTTAAGACAATAGCACTCTACCCAAATGCAGCGAGAGGCACCAAGTCATCACTTGCACTCTGACTTATCATTGCCTCTGATCTCCTTGTGGAGAGTTCCTCAGGGCCACGTCTGATGATGACCCTCTTTTGAACACTAATGTGTGGCGGATTGGATTCGGTTGTGCACTGAAGAGAGATCATTTTTGAGAATGAAACCCATTTCAATTGCACTTGTCTTCATCAGCCAAATGCATCAGTAGGATCTTGCCTGGCACTCAAGATAATTCTGACCAATCCATGCTCCACCCACACTGTACAAAAACTGTAACAACAAAACTTTAAATAACAGTAAAAGTATGCTTTCCCAATGATGGTAAAAATCTGCAAAATTAGAGTCTTTGAATTTCTTGAAAATACTGTCTTTTACTATAATTAATCAGTGTCAATAGTTCACCCATTTGTTTTGACATACAATATTTTCCTATCACCACAGTGACAACCATTAAAATGAGCACAAATGTTTGTGAAATAAAGGTGATCATTTGTTTTTGTGAATTTACATTCAATTTCTGTAAATTAACAGCAGTGTTAAAATACAGTATATGTATAATTTATTTACATGTATTTTGCTTGTTTTTTCCAAAAACCAGGTATTGACAATTAAGCTCCATCCATGTCAAAATACTGAAATTCAAATAGGCATTTTATATATATATATATATATATATATATATATATATATATATATATATATATATGTACATTTGTTTTGTTCAAATTTGTCTTTGTCATTTTATAGCAGCCTAGTTTCAAAATAACACAGTCCACTTTGCTACCTTAGCATTTTAACCCCTTAAATGGCCAGGGCCTTACAGCAGGCCCAAAGTTTTACTACACACTTTTATAACCTAAGAATAGCTCAGCCCGTTTGCATTAAAGTCCCTGTAGTTACTGAATAATAAGCCTTAGTATGTAATAAGCCTGTGACTTTAAAGGGTTAAACTGGAAACTCAACTTTATGTAGCAACTCTCAACAAAGTGCGTTGCAGTTTCTCACAAAATATGAAAATGATTAAATATGATTCTTGCAAATGTTCTGTGAAGCTTGTCCTATCTAGCAACAGTATCCATGAAGAGCACATTTGTGGTCAGAGCACGGATACGTCAATTATTATTTTTGAGCAAAGTTTCAGCGTTAGAAGTTCTGGCCATAGAAGTACACAGTCAGAAGTCTGACTTGGGAGAATTGGACAATTGACCAAGTGCTGACCTGTTATTGGGTGCCGTTGTCACACATTGCACCAGCACAAGGAGCAGCAGAAGCAGGATAGGCACTTTCAGATGATACATGGCAGCACAGATCTGTAAAATATTGAAAACAGGCCAAAAGAGAACAAAAAATAAACTTTAGTGCAATGGGATCAGATGCAAACACACTATATTTACTGCATTTGATTCATTTATATTATATTAGACAGCTCTATTACTTTACAGCAAAATATGGGAATGCAAAGGTAGGCTAAAGTATATGACTGAAAAAAAACGGCAGTGCAATGGGATCAGTACAAATTACACTACGTAAGACAATTCCGTTCATGAAATAGGAATGCAAGAGTACACTAAGGCTTCTTATGGAAAAGTGCACCCTGAGAACACTTTCTAAATCACACTCTAGACCCATATTTCTGTGCACTGTTGCAAATTACATGCTGTGGGAGTGAAAAGCTTGGGTTGAACCTTCCCACATGCATGTATTCATACAATGAAAAATATAATGCATTCAATGCACGTTCAATGCATCACTTTTTCAGCATAAAGACACTAGCGGTGCAACAAAAAGTGTTCCAGAAGAAGAAAAGTAACTCCTCACTCACCTGCAGTAGTTTGGGTCCAGTGGTGAGCGGCAGCAGGAGGTACTGGCGTGGTCACTGTTTTTCTCACACACATACACCAGCCTCCCTGTTATAGGCTTCTCCCTCAACCACTTGTGACATCACTCCTGTCCAAATATAGCCCTCAATTTCCATCTGAGCAGTGGGCTGAGGAGGAGGGGTCTACTTGAGGAATCCAAACCCACGGCACAGGTCAAAAGCGCCACACACAATCATCATCGTCTTCGTCATCCTCGTCATTTATGGCGGCCGACAGTCGCAGCAGTGGGTTGATCACTTCTGGGTTGATCACTAAAGCCATCCTGAGAAAAAGCTTTCAGTTCTGAATTAACCCTTTAATTTCTATTAGTTCTGCTAGTTCAGTTGTTACTGAATACTTCATAGTAGTTACTGAAAAGTTCATAGTGGCATAGTGAGAAATTGATAGTGGATACTGAATAGTTTATACTTCTTACTGAGTGATTGATAGTAGGCACTGAAAAAGCCATAGTACTTCCTGAATAATTCATTGTGGTTACTGAAAAATCCATATTGGTTACTGAATAATCCATAGAATTTACTGAGTAACTCATAGTGGTTGTTGAATAATATTGTTCTTACTGAGCATTTCATAGTGGTTACTGAATAATTCATGGTACTTACTGAGTAATTCATAGTGATTACTGAAAAAATCCACAATATTTACTGAGTAATTCATAGTGGTTACTGAATAAACCATAGTATTTACTGAGTAATTCATAGTGGTTACTGAATAAACCATAGTATTTACTGAGTAATTCATAGTGGTTACTGAATAAACCATAGTATTTACTGAGTAATTCATAGTGGTTACTGAATAATCCATAGTACTTACTGAGTAATTCATAGTGGTTACTGAGTATTTCATAGCAAATACTGAAACTTTCATATTAATTACCGAATATTAGTACTTACTGGATAATCTGTAGTGGTTACTGAAAATGTCACATTAATTACTGAATAATTCATAGTACTATAATAGTCTATAATAGTTACTTTATTACATGAATAGTGGTTACTGAGTTACTCATAACAGTTCCTGAGTGCTTCATATTAGTACCTAATTAATGTACAGTAGTTACTGAGTAAATAATAGTAAATATTAAATATTTCATAGTAGTTACTGAATAATTCAGAGTACATACTGAATAATCTGTAGTGGTTACTGAACAATCTATAATTTTTACAGTATAATCAACAATAATTACTGAGTATGTAATGGTAATTACTGAATAATCTGTAGTGGTTACTGAACAATCTAAAATAGTTACAGAATAAGCCATAGTAATTAGAGTAGTTCATAGTAATTACTAAATAATTCACAGTAGTTATTGAATAATTCATAGCAAGAATGTATAACAGTTACTGAAAAATTCAGCAGTAGTAGTTCTTTCAAAATTCATCTTCAATTCCTAGAAAATCCAAATGAAATTTCCACAGTAATACCATAGTTCTTTGTCATAAGGGGTCTTGAGAAATGTATAAGTTACATGTATTAAATGAGGTTTTCAAAAATCTGTTCTAACATATTCACTGTGTGAACTTCTGTACCTTCCCTGTTTGTTTTCGGTGTCTTAAATTTATTCCCCAAAGTCTTTGTCTTTGCAGCATGATGCACAGTTCTATTCTTACTCCCCACAATTTTGCCTGCTTTGCACTTCTTGAAGAACACAGGATGACTCAGAGTTTAGCAGAACTTTGAGAATGCTACTCTGTACATCTAACAGGCCATCAGCATTTCAGAACTGATGAAACTGTCCTCAGATCAGGCTGGAGGAGCCTACGAGAACCTGCCAGAAGAACCACTGTAAAAGAAGAAGTTATTGAAGAGTCCTTCTCTTTATCTGGTGCCATGCTGAAGGTTATTAAAGTAAAACTTCAGCAAAAAAAAAAAATTACCCAAAATGTAGCCAGCAAAGACATGTTTGGTATCTAAAGTTTGTGTGTTAGTTTTACACACAAGCTACACGGCTAATGTAGCAAACAAGTAATGGAAGCTTATATCTCAGCAATTAGCAATATAATAAAAATGACATGCCTAAAATCATCACAATTGCCAGAACAATGTTGTTATGTGATTTCAAATAGACTTATGTGGTTTCTGACACTGTATGACATACTGTTATCTATGAAAACAGACATGGATAACAGTATGTCATACAGTGACATACTGTAGTAGCCATGCCTTGGAGTGTCCTCATAGGTGTAAACCTCTAGAGACCCTTCACTCGTAGCCTCGTCATTTCCACTAGGGGAATCCTGGCACCATCTTAAGGGCTGTTACATTTCTTTATCTGCTCAAGTGAAGGACGTTCAATAAGCCCTTGGAGGGGCAAGGAGTCAAATGAGCACGTGTCGACTTCAGCAGTAGAACTTGCCCAGAAAACATTGCAATGTTATATATTTTCCTTTGCAACCCCCAAAATAATGGTGGAAAAAGTAAATTACTTTTTTTTTTAAATGCTTAACATTTCAAAATCATAACATTCGATTTACTGAACTTCATCTGTGATACATGACTGCTGATAGAACTTCATCACTTTCCTCTGCTAGCTGGCTCATTAGCCAGCTAAATGGTTAGCAATAACAAACAGAAAAGCATTACAACATAGTTGTACTGCACGTTTATAACCAGACAAAGCAATTACTCACACACATTATGCTCAAATTTCTCAAAAAAAACGTTTTGCATTGCAAAGTTTGTATGGCTAGCTGATTAGGCTAACCTGCTGAGGGAGAGTGGGTGCTGTTTGAATAATCCGCTCCTCACTGTCCCCTCCTCCCCTTCTGTCATGAGTGGCCACTTGTCTAACATAGGTGTGACGCACATCCGAGGGGTGAGTTGATGTCAGTGAGGCCAAGTTAAAAAAAGAATTGAAAAGGTGTCTAGAGTTCAGTATCCCAGCCTTATACTGTTGTATACCTCCAAAACTGCAACAAACCTGTGTTTTGTACAGATAAATTGTATGGGTTTACGCCTATGCCTTCCTTTTTAAAGTGTGTGGTGATCCAGGCATGCAGTAAGCATGATGCTAATAGGTTAGAGTACAAGCTTCTATTTCTTGTTAGCTATTACCCTCGTAGCACCAGTGCAAAAGCAAACAAGCAAACTTCAGAGCAAACGTGTCTTGGTGGATTGACTACATTTTGGTTAAAATTCTGTACATTTGAAATTTCCTTCACACCGCAGCCCACAGTCATGGCCAGCTAAATAAACTACGATGTTGTAACAAGTCCCAATTCCTCTGAACCTTTAAATCACTGTTGCTGCTTGTGGGAGACGAGAGAGAGAGAGAGAGAGAGAGAGAGAGAGAGAGAGAGAGAGAGAATGAAAGTACAGCAGTACACGACTCAAACTTTACTTTGTACTTTTTTAAGTGTTAAATTTCATTTACATCTACCAAAGAAGTTTGAGTGTCATAATAAACTGAACTGCAGTTGTGTATCTCTACTGCCACCTGGTGGTTTTAGATCTTGCAGTTCTTCTTTTTTTCCCATTCATATTCCTTAATGTAACATCCATTTATATGTAACTACATTATGAAATAGGAACATGTGTCAAGTGACTGCTGAACTTTTGGTTTTGTAACATGCAAATTTTTACTCACTCACAAAAACAGAATTTTTTGCCATATAATCCTAAAACAGTCTGACTAGTTTTGCTATTAAATGCAACAGTACTACATACCCATCAAGTCAAGCAGGGGCTGAAATGGAAAATGTCTGCTGTGTTGGCATTTATATAGAATTATTAGATTTTACACCACAGAAACACAAAATAAAAATATAAATGGGTGGTCCTTCACAACAAGAAAACGCAGCATAACAAATGAAGTACAAGTTGTACACATCCCTGCACCTGCTTGCAGCTTGCAACTGAATATAGTAATGATTCAATATCATGACACACACAAGCTAATTTCATAGACTAATGAATTTATCACTCATTCTTCAAATAACAGTTTGATGTACTACACTTTAAAAAGATGGTTCTTCAAGGGTTCTTCTATGAAGAAAATAGTTGTATATAGAACCATGAACACTCAAAGAACCCTTTGCATGAAAGGTTCTTTGCTTTCTGAAAGAGTTCAGATTGATGAAGAATGTGCTGTAGATAGTTTATATAGAAGCTTTTTGAAAAGGGTTCTAAATAGCACCCAAAAGGGTTCATCTATTGTGACAGGCTTGACCTTGTAATAATAGCAAAACCTTTTTGGGTGCTACATAGAACCCTTTTCAAAAAGCTTCTATATAGAACCATCTACAGCACCTTCTCCAATAATCTGAAGAATGCTTTCACAATGCAAAGAACCCTTTAATCATGCAAAGGGTTCTCTGAGTGTTCATGGTTCTACATAGAACTCTTATTTTTCATTAAAGGACCCTTGAAGAAACATTTTTTCAAGAGTGTAGGTAAAGACTGTTAAGACTATGTTTCCACAGAGCCCATATTTGGAAAAAGAGCTGCAAAATCAGCTCATTTTGCCTTCGTCATGGTTGTGATGTCACAACCAAAAACACATTAAACAGGACTGCCCATTCAGCCTATGGCAGTTTAGCTCTGCCCATTCACGTTGAAGTGATGAGGAGTGTTGTTACTGCACATTTCAGCCCAGACTGCTTTTGGAACAAAGTACAATAAAAGGCAGCCAATTACGACAGAGGTCATTTACATCAGTCTTAAAGCCACAGTAACAGCCAGTTTGATTTAAAGAGATAAATGAATTATGGCTGATTTGAGTACATAAAACTACACAAATGTTATAAAAGTGGATGTCAGTGGGAAAGTAAAATAGAAGAAAGATGTAGAATATGGGCATATTAAAGTTGACAGACTGTCTCAGCTTTAGAAGACATCAAACTGTTTCTCTCAGGTGCTTCAGGCCATCGTGCTACTCTGTGTCCTCTTTCAGTAGTGCTTCAGCAGCGCCCCCTGCAGGCTTCTGGAGCTCCAAGTTTGCAGCGGTCTGCTTGTCTTTCTGCAGCTTTTTCTTAATCTGGACGACAGTGATCCAGAAGAGCACATAGCCACACACCCGCAGACCACTGATCAGGCCCAGGAACAGAAACCTGAGCAAGAAGAATAGCATGAGCAGATGTTCACAAGCTGCTTCATGTCCGACTCAAGTCCCGAGTCTCTAGGGTAAAGTGTGAGTCAATAATAGAGACTTTTAGTTTAGCTTGTTATTAGCTGCAGTGCATGTATGAAGTACAGCACTAATAAAATCCTGTCAGGTTCCAAACAGATTCAATTCAATCCAAGCTTTTATCACTTATATATTATTAGTAAAATATTCATTAAGCAACTATTATTATTATTTGGTAGATGATTGTGTGCTTAGAAAATAGCAGTTGACTACACTGTTAACTGATATTTAGTTATTGCTCCTCTGATGCATGGATAAATGTGTTTATCCTTATGTGGAATATAGTCTATGGGCTTTACTGGACACTTTCCTTCACCTCCACACATTCAGCTGCCTCAGTATCCTCAGAGCTCTCTTTACACTTTCAATATTAATTACTCCTCACTTACTGTTACTCAGCCAGTAAGTAATACTTTATGTGTCCAACCAAGGGAAGTGATGATCTTCTCTACTAATATAATAATTATAATACAAATCCATGACTAAGATCACCTTATGCACACTTTAAATCACGTTACAATCTTAATTACATACTGGTCAGACCTAAAACACAGGCCGCTTATTCAAAGACGAACGTAGACAGTTGCCCTTATAAGTAACACAAAAAATGTACATATTGACAGTTTCTGTCTTACTATTGTCTTATTATCTCAAATTTGAAGGTGCTAAATGGGTTCTTTTTGGAGCAGTGCCATGAAAACTCTTGGATCTCATTAGAACCTGACATTGGATGAGACATGCAAGTGTAAAGTACTAGTTTTAGTTCCTATTTGCTTTATGGTGTGCAATCATTTAGAATAAACACTGATTGATAATGTATGAATATTTCTCACTTTATTTAAGGAGACACAAAAATAACTAGAGTGAAATTAAGATATCAGAAACCAGTCAGGTCTTTATCATGAGTTTGTACCATAACTAGTAGTAAAAATGATCACTATTAGGAAAGACAAAGTAGTACTTAATTAATAACAATAAATCAGTAGATGAATTAAAAGTTCATTAACAGTGAAATAAGCAACAGTTGGTACACAGTTAATAAGTAAATAAGCTATGAACTAATGACAAACCAAACTATCAGTTAAGTGTACTCAATAAGTAATAACTAAGTACTTAATCAGTAACTAATTCTTAGTAGTTGACTAATACACAAATATGTAATTACTTATTACTATATAAGTATCACTAATGTGTGACCCTTAACGTAAAATGTTTCCAAAAAGCCTGCAATCTGAAGGACAGAATGAAGCACTGCACACAGTAGATACAGTGTTTAAAGGAAAGGGGCAAAACAACTTTGAAGTTTTAGTGATTTTTACAGGATCACTAAAATTTCAGCTAGCTAAAAATTTCAGTTATATTAGTCATTGTGGCGACTAGCATATATACTATGCAAACTACATGCTACCAAAGCCATATCAAACCTGATCCCTCTATAAGCTGGAGATGTGCAGCATATGCATGACTGTAGCCTTCCCTGTTGCGAATTACAGCACTGAACTGCTTTCAGTAATGCTTAACAAGGTTGGAGAACCCTTGATGTGGGATCTTGGACTATTTCTCCATGCAGAATTTCACTTAGGGACTGCCCTCTTCAATACGCAGTTCAGGTTTCCAATTGGGTTTAAGCCTGGAGACTGAGAGAGTCATTGCAAAACTGATTTCGTGTACCCCAAAAACATTTCTGTGTAGATTTTGAGGTGTGTTTGGGATCAGTATCTTGCTGAAAGGTGCACTCATGGCCAAGGTTCAGCCTTCTGGCAGAGGCAGGGTTTTCACAAGAGGCCCTGGACAACTGGCAGCAGAACAGCCCCAAAGCAGCAATGATCCTTCATCATATTTGACAGTGGGTTTTAAGTATGTATTGTATGCTTTTCCTTTTTTCCACCAAATGTTACTATGGTGTGCATGACCAAAAAGTTCTTGGTCTCCTCTATATATAGACCACATGAAACAATTCCATCCATTTTGCAAAGTTTAGTGGCTGCATTATGTGGCTTGCTCTTAGGAAAGGCTTCTTTTCTTGAAACTCTTCCAAACAGCTTCTAGTGACAGAGGAGATGCCTGACAGTGGATTTTGAAATTTGAAAACCCCAAGATTCAACTAAATTGTGCAGTTTTTAGACACTGTTATGTTTTTTCACCTCTCTCACAATCCTCCACGGTAAATGGGGGCAGTATACTCATGCTTCTTTTTCCGGGCAAGTTTTCAAATATTTCACGCTTTTCAAACTTTCAAACTCAACCTGATTGTGCTTGAAGATAATTTCAATTGACTACAATTTTTTAATAACCTATTTTTAAAATTTCCTAATCCTAACTCAAGAGTGCCAAAACATCTGGAGTCGACTGTATTATTTGGGTGGTGTGGACCATTCAGCACAGCAGTGACATGGTAATGGAACAGTATGAGTGCATCAGGCACAGTGGTGTTGGGTTTTTTACATGTCAGTGTCACTAGTTTGAGTGTTGTCCACCACCCAAACATGTCCAGTTAAGAATCACACTGTTGTCAGAAACTGACCACTGATGAAAGACTAAAGATACATAAACTAGTATACAATCTTTAGCTGTACATCAGCATAGTGGACCTACAAGATTCTTGAAAATGAGGCCAATGAAAGTCATAATAGTCACAATTGCCAGATTTATTTAGTTGTCTTCACCTGAAAGTCTGTGTGTCATATATCCTACACGCCCCTCTCCCTCCACACTTCCTGCTCCCCCACTTCAAACAGGTGGAATCAATCAGAGCCCCAAAGTAGATGGGTGCTGGTATACCCCCTACAACAGCACACAGTCAAACACAGGTAAGAATTGAGCAACATACACCAGTACACTGATACAAGTGTGCTGTGAAATGAATGAATGAATGATTGTTACCCATCAGTCTAAGAACCAGAAGGAACATCCCTGCAGACAGTGACTTCAGCTCAGGCTCTACACTCCTTTAGGCAGACACAGAACAAGAAAAAGAAAATGTGATGAGGCCTTTATAGACTCTTATTCAGCTCAAAATGAGTATATATATATATATATATATATATATGTGTGTGTGTGTGTGTGTGTGTGTGTGTGTGTGTGTGTGTGTGTGTATACAGAGGGAGGGGTCCAAATGTCTTTGACCACTGGTGAAAATGTTTCTTTTTTGCATTCCTTTCTAATTTAATATAAAGCTTTTCATTACAAATGCTGTTAACAGCATAATCATTTGAGCGAATAGTAGAATCTTAAAACGTTTACATGAATATCTCCCTCTTTTGCTTTGATGACAGCATGCACTGTAGCTGGCATGGACTCCATAATACCACATATATTTGTAAGTATGTATATGACAGGACTGATGGGTACATACCTCAGGCAGATGAGGAAGAGAGGCACGCTACCCAGGCACAAGAGAAAGAAGCTGAGAGACTGCAGCGCCAGGTAGATGTAGAACATTGTAGAGCAGCTGCTCTCTCTAGAACACTGTCCCAACACGGCTGTGGAGTTCACCTCACTCACTCCCCAACTTTGAACACACCTGCAGTCATGGAAGTTCTAGAGAAAAAAGAACATCTTAAATGTTAATGTAAAACATCGTAAATGTTTTTTTGATTTCTGAGTTGTGAATATAAGTCCCAGAATTCACACCTGCATTTTTTTAACCAGGCTAAAATACAGCCTCCACACAGCAGTGTTAGTTGTAATACAGTGCTGCAACTGGAAAGCTAGTCTGGTTCAAGTAACATATAATTTTATTGAATTCATTGTATTTGTATTAATTTACCAGATTTTTTTTGTGAAAGTAGTGATGGTTGAATGCTAAATACACATCTAAAATGTTCAATTCTTTAAAACGTAACATATTCAGAATACATTAAGTATACATTTACAATACATATTGGTAAGGTGCATTTTGGTGACACTTTATTTTGAGTGGTCCTTTTAGAAGAAACAAACACTCAAC